GTTATAGTCTCACCTTCTTAATTACTTTTTACTTATAGCAAAATTTATAGTGACTACTTAATATATATTTTGTAATAAGTATTTATTCTGTTACCAAGATAGGTGTCACAAGGATAGTTGTTCTCATGTTTGGGCTTAATTGGGACTAATCCATTTGTGGTTCCCCTTAGTTCCCTAGTTTGTAATTTAATCGTTTCCCGTCTTAAGTTTCCCTCGTTTGGTCGTAGTCTCCCTCGTTTGGGCGTTATTTCCGGAATTTTTTTTGTTTTCCGTCGGTTTTGTGTTTCAAAATCACATTCCACCCTTGTATTTCACAATCGTATAATATAATAAAAAAAAGTTTTAGATGAAAAAAAAAGAAGAAGATAGGTGTTACAAGGACATGCATGTTTGTATTGCCAAAATCATTATTTATTTCTTATTTTTCAGCGTTAGTTTATATAGCAAACGCCAAAAATTATGCTCTCTCTATATAGCTAGCCTTTACATATCTTTTAGGCAAGTCTATTGGAAAAAATCAAACAACTAATAATAATTAAAAAAAATCAAAGGAAAACTGATAATAATAATCAAAGTTATGATTTAACTTAATGAAGATATAAGTAACAGTTTTCACTCTTGAAACAAACTAAAAATTAATAGAAATTTAAAGTTGATAGAAAAATTCTATTCAGTTCAGACTCATTTTGTTAATATAATATAATTAATAAAAAAAAAATTTGTCGATAATTAATATTTAATTAAATAAATACTATACAGGAAAATCCTCAACAGTAAAATCAAATATGATCAAGGTAGCTATATCAGTATCCTCTCTAACACATACCAAATACTTACCACAAGAATCATCTAACATATATACTTTGGTTTACAGATAGCTGGTAGATAGTTATAGAAGACATTATTTGATCTAACCGTCTAAGGTGGATGTTGTAGGATTTTTGTGGACACCATCTAGTTTACGATGAATAGTAGATGATTCTCATGGATATTATATGGTTTATGGTGGATGCTAGATTTATATGGATAACATATGATCACTAATGAGAAATTTTATTAATTATTTTCTTTTATGAATCGTTCTATTCTATAAGTCGTTTAGAGTTTTATTACTTCACTTATATTTATTTGTTTAAATATCTATGAAAATTCTAATTTTATTTGATTTTTGTGACCATTTATATCATGTACATTTTAATTCATATTTATGGTTCTACTTAAGAAGAAAAATATAAGAATTCTGTTAATGTTATTTAAAATATGAGGTTCCTCTCTAACTAAATTTTACAATATCAAAAGGACACTCTTCATCATATAAAAAGTGTATATTATAAGGTGGATTCTAGTCATAATTGATATACTTGAGGAAAATGTGAAATCCAAGAAAGAGTCAAATGCAATGTGCTAGAGAAAAAGTTGCATTGAACTAAGGGTGGCCCGGTTTATCATGTCTCATACCTACTACAATTAATTGCATTTTTATTTAAAAATTTATTTCACTCTTAGCAATTTAATAGTACTACACTACTACATTCCACTTGATAATATGACAACTTCAAGATTAATTTTATAACACATGTAATCGGAATCCTAGATATGTTGGAACTTGAAAAATACGTTAGAAATATAGGGATGCACTAAACGGCAAACCTCAAAGTTTCATGTTAGACCGTAAGTGCCTAAAATTGTAATCTTCAGAACGGTTATGGATCGAAGAAAGTAATGTAACAATGTAAATAGATATATAACAAAACAATCGGTAAATGATAGGGAAGTGCGAAGAAATGAAATAAGAAAGTGACATAATTTGGTTTCACGATAAATAAATAAACATGAGCATGCACTTTTAAGATCTAGTAGTGGAATCATATCGATGATGTAGGCCACAAAAGAATATAAAGAAAGCTGGATATCTGGTTCATATCTGTGCAGTCTAATAATCAATCCTAAAATATTTTAAAATATATATTCTATTTGGTGGGGGATGTAATAAAATTTTATAAAGATATTTCTGTTTATAAACTATGACGAAGATGTATATATTTGACAAAGATATTATTTACAGCTCATCACACAAATACAGGTTATCTAAGTGTAGGAGTTTTTTTTTTTCTTTCCAAAAATACCTTTGTCAAAGAGAAATTCCTAAAAATAGCCCTAAAACAAGTTTGATTGACAATAATAGCACACACTCCATAAACTTCCAAAAATAGCACTAGTTAACTTACTATTAGTATTTTTGTTCTAAAAATTTTATCACTAGTTTTATTTTCAATAACCACAATTTTTATATAAAAGCTATTCAACAAAATAAATTAGAAATAAATTTAAAATATTATATTTGGGTTCTCTATTTCCAATTTAGAGTATATATTTCCACCATTTAAAAGAGATTTTGATTCATTTTAATATTAGTTTATGGTATTATATTTTTTTTTTTGGTAGGAGTTTATGGTATTATATTTGGGTTCCCTATTTCTAATTTAGGGTATATATTTCCACCATTTAAAAGAGATTTTTTTATTTTAATATTAGTTTGTGGTATTATATTTGGGTTCCCTATTTCCAAATTAGGGTATATATTTCCACTATTTAAAAACAATTTTGATTCAATTTAATATTAGATTAGTGTTTGCTCTCTTTTTTATTTTCTATCTTATATTTTCATTAAGTTAAATTAAAGTTTATGGTGCTATTTGTGGAACTTTTCAAATGAAGTGCTATTTTTGGAAAAAACAACTTTTTTGGGGCTATTTGTGTCAATCTCCCTTTGTCAAATTATTGTCAAATATATACATGTAGTTGGTTTAGGTGGTCACATAGACCTTGTATAAGAAGCACTAGGCGCTCATGCGACGTCTAAACGACCGCCTAATATTATGGAATTTTCTTTTTAATATGTTTTTTAAAAATTTCACCATACAGATTCCAATTTTTAAGTTTTGCCTCCATATACATGATTTTAAATGTTCATATGTTGTTTGATATGAATTAAATGAAATTTTTTTGTATAACTTTTGGTTTATGATTTAATATTTTTTATTATTATAATGTATGTTTTTGTATAATTTTTAATTTTTTATATATAATTATAATAAATTCATAATGTTTTATGTTGTAAACGTCTTAACCGCCTAAAATTACCTAGATTCCGATTAGGCGTTCTAAATGTTAGGCTTTGGATCATCGTCCGATTAGCGCCTAGCGGTTTCTTGAACACAATATCTTTATGAAATTTTGTTACAACCTGTATAATTTATTGATATTTCGTTCAACTTTAATATGTATAAAGATTTTTATATTAAAAAAAAACTTTCGTTTGAAGATAGTAATTTGGATAATCTTTTATTGTAACGTAAACAATCACTTATATTATAATGAGTCATGATTCTTCGAAATGGTAATCCTCTTTACAATTGGTGGATATTTATCTATTTTATCAAATTTTGTTTAGAAATACGAATGCTGATCATTTTGAAAATGGATAATTACCTTTTACCAAAGAAAAAGTCTATTCGAATGCTGATTATATGCCTTTTACTTTTCGGTACATCTTTTAACACACGTAAAAAGCGAAAGGTAACAAATTGATACTATTAAAATATGTGATAAAAAGCTAGTAGTAACTATTCAGCTCAATTTTTTGCAACATGCTTTCCTAACGGGAGACACTGTTTCATCTTACCTTTATTTTAGTTTTTGAATTAATTTACAAAAAATAATATCCTCCGAAAAGGACACGAGATGTAGTTTTCATTATACGTATGAGTTAGATCATAATTAAGAGACGTGAATTGTCAATGTATCACTTTGACACCTAAAAAAAAAACCAGTTATTGTAATCTCATGTAAGTTGATACCTTCACTCAGCTTTGAACAAAAGAAAAGGAAAGAAGAAACGAGTCAAGGCCCATCAAAGCCAAGACAAGATATGTCGACGAATGATCCGTGACCACTACCTTATTCTGAACCATCGAACGATCTGTTTTAGGAGGCCCGATAGGCCCATGTCAGGTACACATAACATTGGAGACTGGATGTCGACGAATCTTGGCACAACCGGTTTTCTATTTAAAAACAAAACGTGATTCTTCTCTTTTAAGGTCTGATTCAAAACCAAGACATAGGCAATGTTGATGGGCTTAAATGTATGAAGATTTACCGGTCGGTCAAACCCGTTATGATCTAGACAAAATAATTCTATATAGATAAGTGTAAGAATCCTATGTAAACAAGTATAATAAGACTAGGATTAGGTAGTTAGTGATGTAACTCTTGCCATGGTGCATCGTATGGTGAAGTGGAATCAACTAACGATTTAATTCTTCTTATGTTTTTTGTCAAGCAACTCTGGAAACGAAGAATCATATCTTCTTCCAATGCCCTTAGTCGAATCGTATCTTCTTCCAATGCATGCCCTTATTAGAAAACGAGTACACCTCGGACTAGAGCCAACTCTCTAGTCTCATCTCAGACACAAGTTTAGAGCGACATTCTCTGCTACTCTTAAGGTATGCTCTTCAAAAAACAATTTATTCACTATGGAGAGAAAGAAACAATCGCAGATATGAAGAAAGTCCACCAACAGCCATCCATGAACCTTGAGAAACTCATAGACATGCAAGACCATCCATAACAGAATCTCTCTTCTCTGAAACTCGGGCAATCGACAATATGAAGATCTTCTTATGTCATGGTTTTCATCTCGATCTTAAGATTGTATTTTAGAGGTGTATGAACTTTGAATTGCGAACTTTACTTTCAGAAATATTGCACTTGATATAAACACGGTTTTTTTTAGTAAATAAAAAAAAGTGAGAGGATAAGTCAACGAAAAATTAAATATTATATCGTTTAATGAAGAAGTTGGCTTTTCTTTTGTCTTTTAGTTTTCCCAAGTTTTTCTTTTTTTTGTTAATTAATTTGCCTAAGTTTGAGACTACAACGATTTTTTTTTTTTTTTTTTTTTTTTTTTTTTTTTTTTGACTACAACGATTTTTGCCCAAAATATAAAGGTGAGTAAATTGATTAGCAAATCCTGCCGGCGTAGCAACGGAGAGGACCAGCAGAGGAAGTAAGAGAAGGGACGAGAGAGCCATGGGCCACCTGAAACCCCTCTCCTAATTTGTACAACGGCCTGACTATTCCGCCAGAAGGCACGAAGAAAGCTCCGTTCATGAAAACGTCTTTAGACGTACCCCATTTCCATCTTTTAGAATCAGGTCCAGCACCCATTCTCTTTGTCACCTACATATATAACGTTGTATTCGAACATGACACTATTTTAAATATCCATATATAGATTCTTTCGACTCAAAATCAATTGATAATGACTATATTAACCCAAATGCAAGGTCTCATGTTATTTTAACGTGAGATATTAATTCTAATGATCGATAGTTTAAAATGAAGATACCTGTTTGTTGCTAGCTTTGTCGGGAGCAACGAAGTAGTTGCCTTCACTAAAGATAATTGGATTAGCACTTCCTCCAATCGCATACATTTGCCATTTCTCGTACCTATTGTTTGCTACATGCGCATACCCTCTCCTCACCCTCCCACACCATCAATCATAGATCTATGTCAGCTTTTATAAATTATCTAGTTCAATTAAATTAAACTTATCAACATATATACTCACCTAGGCATTCTCTCAATCAGACCCGGTCCAAAAGTATTGAATGCAATTGTAACTCTCATGTTTTTATCTCCCATATAATTGTCATCATGTCCGAGTAATATCACCTTCATAATAATTAATATTAACATACCAATTTTTCACCAAATACTCAAATTTATTTTTAGAAGTTAAAAGTTATGTAAATGTAAACTTACTTTATCATGCTGCGTGAAGTAGTTATTAGAAATAGTGACAGCCGTAGAAGAAAGAATCACATCGATCAAACCATCTTGACACCGAGAAAAGAAACAATGATCGATCCAAACATGTGTAGATTGAAAAACTCGGATTCCGTCACCATCCCAACCTTTGGAACCTGGTTTACAATCATGGATACTAATACCATGTATAATGACATGGCTCACTTGTTTAATCCTTAAGCATGGCCCGTTGGCTATTTCAACTTTTGCCCCTCTCCCATCGATCGTCTTGTAGCTGTTCACCATGAGCTCGCTTTTCAACACTATCACCATGTCACGTGCGAATGTGATCCATAGTGGTTTTGGTTGGGTCACCGCAAATCTTAAGGTTCCGGGGCTAGGTCTTGTAGGGTTGTCTGATGGGTTTGTAACCACGTAGATCGGCCCGTGTTTTCCCCCTACTGCGGCTTTCCCGTACCCTACCGCGCAATGTGCTAGGGCTTGACGGTTAGTGGCCCAATTAGGGTTTCTTCGCCAGCAAGCATCAATTACATTTAGTGATGCCCTGGGGATGGTTACATTATTACTATGAGCAGTCTCTACAAGAGAAGAAGCCAAAGTTGCCAAGAGAAGTGAAACTGTTAACACGAGGGAAGCCATTTTCTTGAAAATGTGATGCTTGAATTGAAGTATGTGTGTGGAAATATCTATACACGAGTCACGACATATATGTGAGCTAGAGAATATACGTATACACCTTAACTATGGACTCTTATGTATGTGTGTGGAAAATGATAAGGTGGAAGCGTAGAACACACGGTACGCTAAGTGTTTTAGTCGGACGACGAACCCCCTATAACGTTTCATAATAGATATATACAAAATAGAAAGATTTTAACTATGAACCTAGATGGTGGGTATATATTTCTGTAAAATAATATATAATATATTATTTAAAATATCATTTTAGACATATCAACAATAATTTTTTCACAATGATAATAAAAGATATAGTTATTTCTATTTCATACATAAAAAGAATTATACAAGAAATATCAAAAATATTGATATATATAAGTATCGGACATGATACAATTTTATAACATAGGGTAGAAGTCCAAATATGAACCTAATCTTATCTTAAAGATGACCCTTAAAAAATAGTATGTTGATGATACATTGTCCCAATTTTTTTGTCCTGAAGTCTCGTACAGAAATCGCTTGGGCCGGGCATATATAAAGGCCCATCATATTCGCGAACTAAACTTTGAAAACTATAATCGATGAGCTATATAATGTGTTCGACCACATTAAATATAGTTATATAAATTTTTGTATGTTTTCCCACCGAATAATTTGGTGTAATATGGAGATAGAAATGGTATAACTTGCTCAGGCATAGGCAAGTTAAGTATAAATAACTTATTTTGGCAGGAGAGACACGTACACCATTTAATTAGTTTTATTTTGCCCTCTTGTCACCAAAATGTTATATTACATGTGATTGATTCGTTGCATACCGACAACATTAGAAAATTTGGTAAAATATTAACCTGATATTCAATTTTGGAATAATAATGATACTTTTTTTTTTTTAATTATGATACTTGTTTTGTGTGATTAAATATTGCCTTTGATTGCAAGGCATGCCAAATAATTCATGAAAATTACTAGTAGGAGTCACGTCTCCCATACAATGATTATGAGTATAAATAGTTTGAAAATCCTTATATTTGATTCTTTTTGTATCATCCACATATCACACAATTATACTATGGTATTGCGCAATTAAAAATTAGTCGTTGTGTTTTTTACAAAGCCTCTCTAGCAGATTCGATTTCCAGAGAGTCTAAACCTTTTACGATTTTTTTTTTCTTTGCCAACAAACCTTTATTCCAAGTCATAGAAGTCAATATTCTTACACAATCCCTATTGCAATATTTTTCTAAATGTACATATATATTTTTTCGTGATTCGTGAAAGCGACGAAGCTTACAAAGTAAAATCTACTAAATTTGATTCCCCCGAATCTCTTACTAATTTGATCTCATCTATAATCTAAAGATTATTCTTGATTTTGTTAAAAATACATAAGACTGTTTATTGGTACTAATTATGCCTATAATTTCAAATCTAGACGTACAACACTACAACTTGTGAAAACCATTTGTTTTCGTCTCTTTTGTTCTAGAATTTGTAAAGTGGGGGTAATCTGCATATGTTTTTTTGTCAAAGTTCTTAAACTTAAACTAATATGTTGTACCTAAGAAGTGACCCATAACCCTCTGTAAAAGCTTACTAAAATCCGCATTATACAAAGGGTTTACATAAAGTTGTAAAACAAAAGTTTACATATATATAACTAAAAGTTGTTACTAATGATGTATATTCATTATCCAATGGTATTAACGGCTTAACGCATTCATAATCATTGAGTAATATTTTTGTTTATATGAGAAAGAATAGTGATCATATGGTTGCTAACACTTTAATTTTAGATATTTTCAATCTCTTAACAAAAACTTCTATATAAATTTTTGATAATAATACAACTTATTAAAATATACATTTGAGTAATCTCATTGATATTTAGCATATCATTTAATCATGATTCGTACCGTAAGTAGAAGAAACTTGGTGAGGTGGTGGGTCTTTGTTTGTGTACATGTCGACGTGAAAATAGAAGAGAAATAAATATCAGAAAAAGGGCTTTGGACCCGATCAATAGCCACCTAACCAAATCTGTGAACCGCGTTACTTTCAAATAACAAATAGTAACTGGCATATTATTTTGTAGATAAGACTATAAGGTCTTCTTCGACATAAAATAAAGATAAGGTTTGGGACCCTTTCAAGCTTTTTTGAGTGTCGGCAATGAAGTATACGTCGACGTGGCAACAACTGGACAACGGCTTTTTTTGTTTTGTTTTTGGGTCTCTTTTGTCTTGTGAATAACAACTTTTATCACATTCGCATAAATTATCTATAGATTTATGAATTTATTCTCCCAAATTAATGGTTTGTCTCAGTGAAATCCACTGTTTTGTCCAGTGAATTGTGTCATCTATTTAATTCAGTTGGATGCCAAAAACAACATTTATTTTCGATCTATCCATTGTGGAACTTTACCCAATCGACATAAAAGGAAGGACCGGTATTGGACCAATATGTATGACTGGTCATGCATGGAAACATAACAATTTAATTTGTACAAAAAAGAAAACACTAATAATTTTCTTTATTTTCTGGCTAAAATATGGCAAAAAAATGTAGTATTCATGCATGTTGTGGAAGTCTCTTTCGATCTACTTCAGTTATTTCAAAACTTGTTTTTTTTTTTTTTTTGTGGTTTCTGTCTCTCGCTTTTATTTTACACACGTACAAGACAAATTTTTCTTACGTAAACTACACAAACATATAAAGTGTGACTAGTGAATGCTTATAATTAAAAAAAAAACACATAATGTGTGATTGGTGTTAGAGTAAAAAGATGAATAGAGAGGAATTGATATTGGAGGAAATAAAAATATTAATTAGAGTAACCAAAAAGTTGATATTCCCCACGAGTATTCAACAAAACGAAGGAGAAAAGAAGAAAAATTGTTTTGTTTATGTTGAGTGGACCAATTGTTATAGACTAAACTAAATCTTTTACTTTGGCTAAAGTTTTGTCTTCTAGCCACACCTGACACCCCCATATCTAATAGAGGATTTGATATATTTGGTTAGAGATACATAAAAATTAAATATCTAAATAATTGGATTTCTAGAATTATGAGATTATAATTCAAACATCCGTTAAGTTAAAGCATGGAAATCACGAATGCTTAACATCTTAAAGAAAAAATTGAACTCTTTCTAATAAACTTCAAAGATAATATATGCGAGTTAAGATGTAGAGGAGATGTGGACATCATGTGGTTGGTTACTATTACCTAAAATAGCAGTTGATCTTGATGTGTTTAGTAGGTTTGTGTAAAATCAAATTTGCATCTAACTGTATGGTAATTTGTTAGCAATTAGAGGTTTGATTGGCAAGTGCTTTACAAATTTTATAAAGCAAAAAATTTATAATACTTTAAAATAAATTCAATCAAGCTTTACAAAATTTGACTTTTTTTTTCACTTAGAACCAAAATATTTTCTTAATAATTTTTGTTGCTGTAGAAAACATTTTTTCTTTTTTTCTAAAGCACATAATTTTAAGCTTTTCAAAATTTAAATTGTACAGCAAAATACTATAACACTAAAATCTACAGTCATATCCAAAATATTTACGGACTAAAATTTATGGCCAAAAATCTAAAGGCACAACCAAAACCAATCAGGCTCTGAATCTCCACTAGAATAAATTGACATATATTACGAAAAATGCTTTTCCACCACATCAGATTTGCATTTCGTATGAAATTGCTTGTTTAAACCGAAATATTGTTTGATCTATCTAGTACTAATACCAATATTTGTTTGAACTTAAATGGCTATGTGATCGACATGTCACCATAACCGTAAACATTAGCAAAATAAAGGTAATTCTTGACCAAATGTTTTCTATAGATATGTAAAACATGTCATACTTAAGATCTAAGTAGTAACAAATAAATAAAGGAGTTTACAAGTAAAATATTTTTAAAACAAAACTAGAAAAATAGAAGGGAATAGAAGAACAGAAGAAACTTCAAAAGTACAAAAAGATGAAAATCCAAAGAATAATTTGTTATTAGAAAAAAATAAAAAAAGGAATAAAATGGGGAAAGGGAGGAGGAGGAGGACCCTGAAGTAGGGTTAAATAAAAGGCAACCATGTATGTCCTTTGGTGTCTCTATCATCAACACCTGTCGGCCTTCTCACTTAAACACGCTCTTCACTCTCTTCTCACACCTCTCCCTCTCCCACCATTTAATCAGTCCTCACAATTATTCAATTTCTCCAATCTCCTCCATAAGATTAAACAACAATATAAAAATATCTTCTTTCTTTTTCTGCGAATACACCAATAAAGTACAAAAGAAAAAAGCCTGTCTTCTCTCACTTGTAATTACCAGAAGAAGCAAGAACAATTACAAGAGACACACTCTTTCTCTCTCAAACGGTTTACTTTCCTTCTTCTGTTTTCACCTTTAAAAACGGCTACTTTAGAAAACTTGAGAAGATTTAGAAAGAAACAGAGAGCTTGAGAGATTCCTCTGGCAATACCCAGATGGAGTTCGGATCTTTTCTTGTGTCCTTAGGGACATCTTTTGTTATCTTCGTCGTTCTCATGCTTCTCTTCACATGGCTTTCTCGCAAATCCGGTAATGCTCCCATTTATTACCCGAATCGGATCCTTAAAGGGTTGGAGCCATGGGAAGGTACCTCCTTGACTCGAAACCCTTTTGCTTGGATGCGTGAAGCTTTGACTTCTTCTGAGCAAGACGTTGTTAACTTATCCGGCGTCGATACTGCTGTCCACTTTGTCTTCTTGAGCACTGGTTCGATCTCTCTCTCCCTCTTTCTCTCTGTCTCTGTAACTTTAGTGGTTCCAATTTAAGGGTTTCGTGGAATTCTGCTAATTTCTGTTGGTTCTGATTTGGGTTTGAGATTTAACCTAATAAAGTTTCGATCTTTAGAGACAATTGGGGAAAAAAACGTTTCAAAATGGAAACTTTTTTGTTTGTCTTTTACTAGCTCTGACGATTTTGTTTGCTATGTTATGTAAATTAAGTACCTTTTGATCTTTTAGCTTATTACTTGTAGACATTGGTGTTTGAAATTAGAACCAGTAGACAGAACTCTTTGAAGCCTATATCTATATATGAGCCTGTGATTCTGGTGAAGGCAAAGTGTTTCTGATGTCTTGAAATTGGCTTTTGGTTGAAACAGTTCTGGGGATATTTGCTTGTTCTGGTCTTCTTCTCTTACCGATTCTACTGCCTCTAGCCGCTACAGACCACAACTTAAAGAACACAAAGAATGGGACAGATACCACAAGCAAAGGAACTTTTAGCCAGCTTGATAATCTATCCATGGCTAACATCACAGTAAGTAAACACAACAATGACTCCATTCTGCCTTTTGATTCCATTTCAGATATCGCGGTTTTGATCGTTTAAAGCGAAATGTGTATTCTTTCAATTGAATAGAAAAAAAGTCCGAGGCTGTGGGCGTTCCTAGGAGCAGTTTACTGGATATCTTTGGTCACATATTTCTTCTTGTGGAAAGCTTATAAGCATGTCTCTACATTGAGAGCTCAAGCTCTGATGTCTACTGATGTAAAACCCGAGCAATTCGCTATTCTTGTTAGGGATATGCCTTCACCACCTGACGGGCAGACACAGAAAGAGTTCATTGATTCTTATTTCAGAGAAATATACCCCGAGACATTCTACAGATCGCTTGTCGCAACAGAAAACAGCAAGGTATCTACTTGTTCTGGCCTTATAAGGTGTTTAGGCATTAATGTTATTTCAAGTACTTTATATGTTAATCTATGCTCTTTGTTTTTTTGTAGGTTAATAAGATATGGGGAAAGTTGGAAGGTTACAAGAAGAAGCTTGCGCGAGCAGAAGCAATACTTGCAGCAACTAATAACCGACCCACGAACAAAACCGGCTTGTGTGGGCTAGTCGGTAAACAAGTTGACAGCATTGAGTATTACACCGAGCTAATCAACGAGTCTGTAGCCAATCTAGAAACAGAGCAGAAAGCGGTTCTTGCTGAGAAGCAGCAAACCGCGGCAGTGGTCTTCTTCACAACCCGGGTTGCCGCCGCATCAGCCGCTCAGTCTCTGCACTGCCAGATGGTTGATAAATGGACTGTGACCGAAGCTCCCGAGCCTCGGGAGCTCCTATGGCAGAATCTCAACATCAAGCTCTTCAGCAGAATAATCCGGCAATACGTCATTTACTTCTTTGTTGCTCTGACCATTCTGTTTTATATGATCCCAATCGCGTTCGTCTCTGCAGTCACCACTCTTGAGAATCTTCAGAAGATTATTCCGTTCATAAAGCCGATTGTGGAGATAACCGCCATAAGAACCATTTTGGAGTCTTTCCTTCCTCAAATTGCGCTCCTCGTTTTCTTGGCGATGTTGCCTAAGCTTCTCTTGTTTCTCTCCAAAGCCGAGGGAATTCCGGCGCAGAGCCATGCCATTAGGGCTGCTTCAGGGAAGTACTTTTACTTCTCAGTCTTTAATGTCTTCATTGGTGTTACCCTTGCGGGGACTTTGTTCAACACAGTGAAGGATATCGCGAAAAATCCCAAACTCGACATGGTCATTAACCTTTTGGCTACTAGCCTCCCTAAGAGCGCAACTTTCTTCTTGACCTACGTTTCTCTCAAGTGAGTTTTTGGTTCTCTTGACTTAAATAGCATATATATATATATACATTGTTCATTTGTTCTCTATATCTTATGTTGTTGAATTTTTAATTTTAGGTTCTTTATCGGTTATGGCCTTGAGCTGTCTCGTATCATACCTTTGATAATCTTCCACCTGAAAAAGAAGTATGTCTGCAAAACCGAAGCGGAGGTCAAAGAAGCTTGGTACCCGGGAGACTTAAGCTATGCGACTAGGGTTCCCGGAGACCTGCTCATCCTCACAATCACGTTCTGCTATTCTGTAATTGCTCCTCTTATCCTCATATTCGGCATCACCTACTTCGGTTTAGGCTGGCTGGTCCTCAGGAATCAGGTCAGACTTTCTCTCTAATTACTATACCCATAAAAACAGGTTTTAACACGTTAAAATGTGATCTTGAACGGTTTTATTTCGGGGCATGACAGGCGTTGAAAGTGTACGTTCCATCATACGAGAGCTATGGAAGAATGTGGCCGCATATTCACCAGCGGATACTAGCAGCGTTGTTTCTATTCCAAGTGGTAATGTTTGGCTACTTAGGAGCCAAGACATTCTTCTACACGGCCCTCGTGATCCCTCTCATCATCACCTCTCTCATCTTCGGTTACGTGTGCCGCCAGAAATTCTACGGTGGGTTCAGACACACAGCTCTCGAGGTGGCTTGCCGTGAGCTGAAGCAGAGTCCGGACCTCGAGGAGATTTTCAGAGCATACATTCCGCATAGCTTGAGCTCTCACAAACCAGAAGAACACGAGTTCAAAGGCGCAATGTCTCGTTATCAAGATTTCAATGCAATAGCAGGCGTTTAAAATTTGAATCCAATCCCAATTATCTCATAGATTTGTTTTGTTGGTTTTTTAGAAGCTGTTATTGTTGTGTGTGAATTTTAGGGTTTGTTTAGGATACTTCTTTGTATGTGTTCTTGGGTTGTTGTAACTTGTAACTTTCTAAGCTACTTTTAAATATCAACTTGATTTTTCATCATTATGATTCGTCTACTTCTATCTGTATCTCTACATGCGATTGTTATCACAAGAATGTCTAAAAATTGCTTGAGAATGGAATCATTGTCCCACGATGTCTGTAGACAAGTCTCTGGACCATATATATATAGTTTGATCAACACCTATGCGCGCTTTCGCCACTAGAATTTTCGAGGTTGCTGTTATATGATCGTGAGTCAAGGCGAATACTGGTGATACATGATCCTGAAACCAAATCATATGCTGTTGGTTTCTCTGCTGAATCCATTGGATATACTACTGCTTCTTCCATCAACTGTTTGTTTGCAGCTCTTCAAGCTATAACTATGGTCCAGAGACTTGTGTTACCAGAATAGGTTGTTATGTTTGTAGTTAATCTCACTCTCAGTTGGTTGAAAAGAAAATTCAGAGTAATCAAAATCCATTGACGAATTCAACCTGATTGTTCTGTAATAATATTGTGCCTCAGAACTCTCAATTGGAATTTCAATTTTCGTTAGATTTCTTCAAGACATTACCTCTTTCTCCTTTGTAAATTGCCTACGAGTATACTTTTTAGACTGAGATATGTGATCTTTAGATCATTTGTTGAAAGGTTTTGAGAAAAATATGAACTTTTGAATTCAAGAGACACTGAGTTAAAGATCACTCCCTGATTGAGTCTGTAAACTATCTCAGTATCTCTTGTTTGTTGGTTTAGAAACTTTATCATGTCTGTAATTAGGGTTTATTTCTTATCTGTTACACTGACATGTTCTGTTTTCTTTAGCTGTTGCAACTTGTATTTAAGGTAGCTTCAAACATATATACATTATTGTCACAACTTGATATATTTATATATGTTAATTGAACTGAAATGTTGTAATCAATATTCACAAAGACAAAAGATTCAAAAAAACGAATGAATGTAATGGAAATCAATTTATTTCTTATAAACTATAAATCGGTTTTGGTCCGGTCGATAACGGAGAGGGAATGTCTTCCGGTGCACGGACGGGCTTCACCCACCGGCCAGTCTGTTTGTTGAGGATCAGACCCTTATGTGCCACTTGGTACCAAAACTCAGGTATTCTTAGATGATCCAACAACATATCCGTGCTCTTGTTCACAGAAGCAACGTCTCTCCTTGCGTTAACCCTAAACCCAGATTTCTTGCGGTGGAAGCCATCCAAAACATGGAGATACACCTCGAGATTATGAGCCCTCCCTAAGTCTGAATCGCGTTTTACGTAAGGCGAACTAAAAACATCGAGCTTTAGCTGCGTTCCGACGTGCCTGTAGACCCAATTGAGCCTTGAAGTAATCGGGTTAAGTTTGTTTAGTACCTTGTTGAACACGATACCAGGAAGCTTAGGGACAATGTCTTGCTTGTTCACCACACGTAACACCTTAACACCTAAACTATTTAGCCTCTCTTTGAATGCCAAGTTACCTACCCTCGGCGCACCAAAGGAGATCACTGAAACGTTACCAGATAACGCTGGAACATCTTTAGCCGCCTCATAAGCGTTCATAAGCGCCAACGCGCCTCCCAGGCTATGCCCGGTGATGGTTAGGCTCACCTCTTCGCCTCTATCCTTAAAAAAATTCACTAGCCGTTTCACTTCCTCCATCGTCTGATCTGATGCACTTTCTTTGTTGTACCGTGTGAGTTCGCTTTTCGATTTGTAGATACTGAAAAACCCGCTTTGGACCTTGACCACGTTCTTGCCATGTTCTCCTTCACAATCGAACGGCTCTTTACTCGTTCTAAGATCCATGAACCATTCCGTGGGAGTCACCGTTCCACGCCACGCCACAACAATGTCTCTCCGACCGATCCTCAACGACTCTCTGTCTCCACTCACAGCTACAAACCCCATCCAGTTTGAATCTTTGCTCCATGTCTCTCTCATAGCGGAGCTTAAGAACCACTGAGGAACATCGACATGAGACATCGCATATATGTATTTGGTTACCTTGTAACCATGTTTGGTTAAACCAAGCTCTTCAAAGAGTTTGTTCCTGTTGTACCTAGAGCTTCCGCAGAATTCGGATAAAGGATCGAAATCAAGTGAATCGTAGACGGATTCCACAAATTCTCCATATTTGGTTACTTCTCTCCTAAGCCATGGATGTAGAGGATCAAGAAGATTCTCCCAATCGTTGCTACCGTGAAGCTCACGCCACATTTTAGAAATATTCTCCCTTGGAGACGTAGCTGGAGTCATCAGATCGCCGCGGTCAAGAAAATCGTCTGCTGAGTATTTCGGAAGCTGAAGCAAAAATGCCAGCGATTTGGTCGAGTCATTGGATATTTTGCAGATCCTCCGAGCCACTTGAGACAAATCTTGTTCTTCCTTCCGTGATTTAATGTGGAAGAGGTGTTTCTTGGTTGACAAGAAACCCGGAAGATGTGACTTGACCCGGATCTTGATAGACTTCCATGCCAGCTTCAGCTTCTGCTTCAATCTCCAGACCCGTTTTGTTCTTCTTCTTCTTAGCTTTCTCAATGGAGTTTTGACCAATGCGTTCTCCATTTCTGAGTTTATCAGTCCGATAACTTTTCAGGTGATGATGATAAAGTTGTGATGTGTTAGCAAGAATTGATCGATATGCTTTGGAATTGATCCCAATGTGTTATATATACGAAGTAACATATGTAATCACATGCGAATATGTTGCTTCTGGGAAGATACTCATGCGTTGACGAAGAATAAATGTTTGACCTGGCCTGACATTGCTCGGTACGGAAGATGATTACCGGTATCATATTCGGTTTAGTTTTATATGGGGAAAATTCCCTAAAAAAGCCCCACTTATTTAATATTTGCCAGAAAACTACCTAAACTTTTTTCGTTGCCAGAACAATACACAAACTAATTTGGGTTGGAAATAAAAAACACTAACTAATTTTTTTTTCTGATTTCCTCCCTTCGCTGTAACGGCCGTTAACAGCGTTATCCAAATCGTCAAACGCTGTTAATTTTATTTACGGAAAAATTCCTAAAAAACTCCCCGACTTATATAATATTTGCCAAAAAATACATGAACTTTGTTGTTGTCATAAAAATACCCAGACTAATTTAACTTGGAAATAAAAAACACGATCCGTTTTTTTTTTAAGGATTTCTCCAACCAAATCGTCAAATGCTTTTAATTTTGTTTAAGGAAAATTCCTAAAAAAAACTTGACTTATTAAAGAAATCCTCTAAAACCTTCAGTTCTTCAGTAATATCAACTAAAATCATGTTATTAATGTGTAACTTTTTCTAAATTGCTAATGCTTTTTTCAACAATCTATCATATGTGAACAACAGTAAATTAAAGAAATTTTACCCACTTTGTTAGCCGAAGGTTCTTCTTAATTTCTTCAATTTATTGTTGTTCGCATCAGATATAGATAGATGTTGTATGTTAAAACTAGGATTTAATATAAGTATTATATCGATTTTGATTTTATAAGGGGATAACATCGGTTTTTTAGCCATTCTTATTTATCATGTGCAAAAAAAATGAGAAAAATAACGGTATTTACTATTTGGTTAACATGTTGATAACTGTTACAATAAAGTGGGTAAAATTGGAACAAAAAATAGGTCGTGCTTTTTATTTCAACTTTAAATTGATCTGTATATTTTTCTGGCAAAGAAAAAAAGTTAAGGTATTGTTTTGGCAAATATTAAATAAGTTGGGTTTTTTCTAGAATTTTTCGTAAATAAAACTAAAAACGTTTGATGATTTCGTTAACGTCATTGACGGCCGTTATGGCGAAGGGAGGTAATCGGAAAAAAAAATTAGATCGTGTTTTTTATTTCCAACCCAAATTAGTTTGTGTATTTTTCTGGCAACGAAAAAAGTTTAGGTAGTTTTCTGGAAAATATTAAATAAGTGGGGCTTTTTTAGGGAATTTTCCCGTTTTATATGTGACTTTTTTTTTTTTTTTTTCTTCCGTTTTATATGTGACTAAAGCGAAGTGGTATGCTAATAGAATTATAATACCGGTTCAGGTAAACCAGATCAAGCAACTTTAGACCCATTTAATTTTCTAAATCTCCTCTTGGAAAGTTTTTTGTTTTATTCTCAAAATGATTTAGTTGGTCAAAGTAATAATAATACGCCATGATGATAGTTATTCTTTGGCAGCTTAAGGATTGAATAATTACGGCTGCTCTATATACATAAGTTATATTAGTGAAATTAATTATGATTATTTGTTAGGAAAATCAACTCTCACAAGAGTCGTATACTGTGTCGGCTTTTGCGTTAGGTTATATAACTCCAATTTTCCTCCTAATTAACGGGACCACTTTTTTTCTATGAAATATATTACTTTATAATAAATATTGCTATGGATAAGAACATTTACATAAAATTCAATAATCATCCAGAAATAACTGGAGAAAATAAAGAAACACACATATCTCATTATATATTGACGTACATTTCAGACCAACATGCATGGTTTGACTTAGTTGATCAATTAAAATTCGGTGAAAACTAATCTTTAATTTTTTTTTTTTTTTTTTTTTTTTTTTTTTTTTTTTAATCTTTAATTTTGGTGTCACTCGATAGATATTCATTTTTGTTTTAGTCTTTGTTAACATCTTATTACAAATAATTAAACTTGCATTCAAATACACTTTTATTAAGTTGATTATGGACAAGAATTTTAAGTTTTTGTTTAATATGAAATAGAACTGATTGATCAACTAATTCAGATGCGATAGGTTTGAAAAAATTATTCACAAGATGGTAAAGAATTGACTAATTATGCTCGAAAGTGTTCTTCACGGCAAGTTCGTCCGCACGTCAATGATAAGACATGCTTCCTATTCTCAGTTTTACCCTTCGTCTCTTAAAACAATTACGAAAGCACCACTAATCCTAGAGTAGACACTAGTCTTTCCCAAGACCACTCATCTGTGGTTGAAAATATTATAATGTATGTATGATTCGTTATCGTTTGTTTCAAATGTATGTTTGTTTAAATAAAACCACTTGATGAAGTCCACAAGATCCTATTTGCTTAAATGGGCCTGCATGAAGCCCAAACAAGAAAGGTTTTGAAAGAAAATCTTCAGTGTGACAGATGATGAGACAGCCTTATCCAGAGTTAAAATTCACCAATAGACACTTGACGTGTCAGCAAGAAGTAACCTAAACAGAATCCATTTCTGTGATCACCAAAGCCACACGATGATTCTTGCCTAAATCATTTTAAAGACTGTATAGAGGAAAAAAACTGCAAAAACAAAAACAAAAAAAACCGATCACACAAGAAAAATAAAAGATTTGTAGATTCAACTAAGAAAATGGCGAGCACTATGATGACTACATTGCCTCAGTTCAATGGTCTTCGAGCCACCAAGATCTCTGCAGCTCCTGTTCAAGGCCTGGTTAGTAGTTTTTAATTTTCTTATTTTCATTTTTAGATTCTCAAAATGTGTTTTGACCTTCTATATATATAATATCCTGGTTTTTTTATATGTTATATTTGACAGATTTATTTATCAAAATAAAGAATTTGTAATCTAGCATCAAGTTTATGAAATTGCAGGCTCACCAAAAAAAAGTTTATGAAATTGCAAAATATTATTAGTTGGAAAATAAAGTGAATGAATGATTTGGAATGGTGTTTTTATCTTCCCAGGCAAGTGTTCAGCCCATGAGACGCAAGGGAAATGGAGCTTTGGGTGCAAAGTGTGGTGACTTCATTGGTTCATCAACAAATCTGGTAATTAAAGAGATAAAACAAAATTATATGAGATTAAATAAGTTTAAGCAATGATTAATTCGTACTTTTATTAGATAATGGTAACGTCGACGACGCTGATGTTGTTTGCGGGGAGATTCGGACTTGCGCCATCAGCCAATAGGAAGGCGACAGCTGGACTTAGGTTGGAGGCACGTGACTCGGGTCTACAGACGGGTGACCCGGCCGGGTTCACGCTTGCGGACACTTTGGCTTGTGGCACCGTTGGTCATATCATCGGTGTTGGAGTTGTCCTTGGCCTTAAAAACATTGGTGCTATTTAAAATTAGTAATGCTCTTTTATTTGTAAAATTTGTAGATTCTTATAACAAATCTCAAGAACCTGAGGGAGATCTAATGGAATTTGCAAGTCTTTATGTTTGTATCATATTTTATCTCCCTTTCATAGTCCATAGATTCGAAGCATGGAAGAAACGGTATTTGTGTTGGATCTTTGAATTTGGAGTTGTTTTTTTTAACAGAATGAGGATTTGATGCATAATTTTTTTTTTTAAAATGAATTTTCATGTTAACAAATAGAATGTATAAAAATTGTGAATTAAAATATAGGAATCCTAGAGTTGAAACAAATAGAACGACCGTATACTTAATCACACTTAAGTATGTGAACCGAAATCATTGTTTAACAGAAACACCACTAGGTTTAGAAGTTTGACGTAAACTTATATAAGTAAAAAGATATTAGTGGCCTTGTATTCAACAAAACAAATTATTTGATCATCGTATATCAGACCAAAATTGGCATCTTTTTTTAAAAAAAACTCTTTGACATCTTTTGTAGACGTAATTAAACACATAATATGTTGTCATAAGTAAAAAAAAATTGTTTTCTTATAAGCTAATCATTGCATTTGATCAAAATTTTGGAACAACAAGAACGATATATTTCTGAAATTAATAATTGGTTTACTGTCACATAGGTGTTTTAGGCATTAAGAAAAAACAGGCTCTCCCCTATAACATGGTCAGGCCACACACACTATTGCTGGTCTCCTCCTCCATTATTGGTTTACTGACTTTACTCTAGTGCTCCACTCAGCCGCAGGTGAACGACATAAACACAATACTTAATCAGAATTAATGTCAAATAGTCGTTAATTCGTAAAGCTACTCAATTTATTGCAAGTTTTATAGAGTTAAAGTTTTAGTTTTCATATACGTTTGTAATACGATATAAGCCCGACCAGGCTAGGCCCATAAGTATGTATTATTTATAGATCATATTAAAGTTGCCATGTCGTAGAAGCAAACAATGGAAAAGACTTCAGTGTGTATTTGACCGATGTCATTAACGTGAGTACGTGAGATAAGAGCATCAATGAGTACTATTTCTGTATAGTTTAATTAGTTAAATAGTGCATGTGTGAACATCTGGAATCAAACACGGATTTAACGTCGAGGCGTTTCTAAGAATCTCAACTAGGAATTAAAACTTTTGGCTAATTAGTAATAAATTTTGAAACTGAAATGATAAGAAGAACTATGCATATAAAAATAAAAACTTGAACCCAAAAAATAAGTAGTCAACTAAAATTGAATCCGACAAATGTTGTTTTTGTTTAATTTGGAATTAATACTAATGAAAAAAGACAAAGTTTGTCTGAGTCGAGCATATTCGAATGGAATCGAAAGCAGGCATTGTAAAAAAAAGAGAGAGCGAAGATGACCAAAAAAAAACACTTCCACTCGTCAAATCTTGTATTATTTGTATATATGATCAAATCTTGTTAAGTTTTGAATTAGTCTAAACTGAGACAAAAACAAAAAATACTAGTATTTATTATTTTATAGTATCTAATTGATCGAATATAAAACCAAAATATCTGAACGTGGTCACCCACCTTGGTAATACAGTATTTGACAACCCCAAGAAGAGAAAAAAAAAAAAAGCTTCACTAACTTGTTTGTTTTTTAGTGTTACGATTAATGAATCTTGATGACTTAGTGCAGTGTGACCAAAGTAGGGTGTGATAGTTTCATCGATAATCCGTCTTTATTGTTGTTATATTCATGTAGCTTCTTCTTTTTTTACAATTAGCATTTCTCTGGAATTGGATTTATATTATTAAATCATACTTGATCAAGGTTTGTAGCTTAATGATTTTTGTATCAATCTCGTTCTCGTGTCAATGTCATCATGCATATTCAATTCTAATCATCTACTTAATAACATCATATTTTTATAAAATTTGTTTGTTAAATATAATTTTTAACAATTGTTCTTATATAATATTCGGGTTCATAACTAATACTGTATAGGATGAGGACAAGTCGTGCTTTCATCTACTATTATTATGTTTCTTGATGAACATGAACTTCTTTTTTTGTTGATAAAAAAATGTTTTCTTAAAGAACATGATTTCATTGGATAGCTACGTAAGATTAAAAAAAAAGTACTTACAGTCAAAATTATAAGACAATTGAACCGATATTAGATATATACTTGATTAGTAGTTGATTCGAATTTGCCTAACAAATATATCATTTTTTCAAATGAAAATGTTTGTATAATTGGTTTGTAAAGAAATTATTCTAATTAGTAATTACTTAACATCATCTACATTTTTATTTTGTGTTCATTTTTTTTTTGTTGGATATTCATATTGATTAACTATAAATTTTTAACTAAATTATAAAAATAATTAGGACTTTTATTTATTTTCGAAATATACTAAAAAATGGATATAGTCATTATATAATCATTTAGATTTTAGAGGGATATCATCATAATTAAAATATCTGTTGTAAATAAATAACAAACTTTATAGTTATTTTGCTTAATATAGGAAAAAAATTATAGTTATTTACCTAATTGACACTATTTATTTTTGGTGTTTGTAAATTAAAAAAAAGGAGAAAAAAGGTAGTGATTGTTTTACTCTTATGAATGTGTTATTGACTTTTCGGCCTCTCTCTCTCTCTCTCCAATCTCCATATATATGGATGGATCTTCTTCATGTAGTGTAAGCAGTGACGTATCGATCTTCTCCCTACAAATCCTAAATCTTCTTCTCTGAGAGAGCCATCAGCCACCTTTTCTCCGGCCGAAATGAGTTCATAAGATTCCGTTAACGTCTTCCTGATTTTTCCGGCGAAATTGCACTCTTACCTCTCCTTTTGACTCCCAGAGGTTTCGTTTTCTCCTTTTTTGTCTACAAAGCACTGAATCTTATCAATCGAATCGATTTCGTGCTTGTTACGTGATTTACGCGGGTTCTGATTTCTCCTGGGTTTCATGAGATTCTATGCTTTTTGGTGCTTGTCTCTGTTCTTCCTTTTTGGGATAAAAAGTTTTCTCTCCACTAAAATGATAAAAAGCTTTTTCCAACTTTTTTTTTTTTGTCTCTCAATAATCTATCCACATCGTTTTCGTTTTTTGTTTTCTTCTCCATTTGTCTTCATTGAGTTCATAACCACATAATTATTGGTTTCTTTTTCTCTTTCTGTTTCTGATGCTCCATTATTGATACTTCTTACTTGCAGATTAGAGGATTGGTAGTTATTAGTGATGTGTAGTCTTTAAAGGGGTAAAACTTTGAAGCAGGGGATTTGTTTTTGGTTATTGAGGAGGAAGAAGATGGGGTTTGAGCCGTTGGATTGGTACTGTAAGCCGGTGCCGAATGGTGTGTGGACAAAAACAGTGGATTATGCATTTGGTGCATACACGCCTTGTGCTATTGACTCTTTTGTGCTTGGCATCTCTCATCTTGTTCTGTTGATTCTGTGCCTTTATCGATTATGGCTCATCACAAAGGATCACAAAGTGGATAAGTTCTGCTTGAGGTCTAAATGGTATAACTATTTCCTGGCTCTTTTGGCTGCTTATGGTACTGCTGAGCCTTTGTTTAGATTGGTCATGAGGATCTCTGTTTTGGATTTGGATGGAGCTGGGTTTCCTCCGTATGAGGTGTGTTATCACTTGCTTTTCCTAAGCTTTGCTTTTTTGTTGTTGTTGTTCTGTATGCTTTTCCTGAAAGAAGCTGTTGTTTTGTGCTTTCTTTGGCAGGCGTTCATGTTGGTCTTGGAGGCTTTTGCTTGGGGTTCTGCATTGGTCATGACTGTTGTGGAAACTAAAACGTATATTCATGAACTCCGTTGGTATGTCAGATTCGCTGTCATTTATGCTCTTGTGGGAGACATGGTGTTGTTAAATCTTGTTCTCTCGGTGAAGGAGTACTATGGCAGGTTGGTAACTTTGCAGTCTATAAGGTTTATGCAATTTTGTTTCCCTGGTCTGGCACGATGAACTTATATGCTTCATGTTTTTTTTTTTTTTTTTTTGCAGTTTTAAACTGTATCTTTACATAAGCGAGGTGGCAGTTCAGGTTTGCACATTTACACTCCTTTTTGCATTCTCCATACTGCTCTTTACCATGAGCTGTATCTAAATCAGACTATAGATGATACAACTTTGTTTTGATAATGACGTTGAGGGTGGCTTTTGGATCCAGGTCGCATTTGGAACTCTCTTGTTTGTGTATTTCCCTAATTTGGATCCTTACCCTGGTTACACACCAATTGGGACTGAAACTTCAGAGGATTACGAGTATGAAGAGCTTCCTGGAGGAGAAAATATATGTCCTGAGAGGCATGCAAATTTATTTGACAGTATGTCACTCTATACTTCTTATTCCCCCTGGTTGGATTTGTTTATGTAGATGCATTTCTATTTTTACTGTGAGAATCGCCACAGCATCTTTGATCACTTTTCTGCACTTACTACCTATCTAAGTTGGTTATTTCTTCAGAGCTTAAATATTTCCTGGAACTGTAAATTTCTTATGGAGTGCTAATAGTTAGTAAGCGGTCATTAGAATTGTTTCCGCATTTAAGACAGAGAGTTGTCTATAGACTCTTCAATTACTTTTTGACTTATCTTCCCATTCTACCTAGAAATGAGCTTAGGAAACTGGATTGTGACTGTGCCGAAGTTTTGGCTTAGTGATTATCACTTCGACTAAGCTGTATCATTTTGTATAGTATATTCGTCAACATATGTTAAACTTTGACTATGATGTACCTTCTTACTCTTGTTTTTTTACCCACAGGTATATTCTTCTCATGGTTGAATCCATTGATGACTCTGGGATCGAAACGGCCTCTCACGGAGAAGGATGTATGGCATCTGGACACTTGGGATAAAACTGAAACTCTCATGAGGAGGTATATTTTTTGATAAATAATAACTGTTCTCATACAGTCTATGACTGGCATGGTTGCGTGATATATTTTTATCTCCTTTTTTAGCTTCCAGAGGTCCTGGGATAAGGAACTAGAAAAGCCCAAACCTTGGCTTTTGAGAGCACTGAACAACAGCCTTGGGGGAAGGTAAAGAGAAACATCTTTACAGTCATGTGTTCTCATCTCTTTGGAGTATGGATTGATTGTTTGGGCTTCTACTTGATGTGTGATTTGTAAAAGGAAGCATTTGGTTGTAATACTATATGCATTATGAATAACTAGAAGCTGAGAAATCTGTTATGGCTGCCACTTCAAGTATGTTTTGATGCATGTCGAGTTGAATAAGAGATGTGTTACTTTTCTGGTCATAATCTGCCATAGATATTTTTCATTCTTATGGACTCTGTCTTATAGAAACCTGTTTCTGCATTTTGTAGGTTTTGGTGGGGTGGCTTCTGGAAGGTACTTTTATTTCTTTTTGTTGTGTTTTTTCTTTGTTCTGCAACAGTCTTTTTCTTGTCTATTTGATATTATTGATGGCTTCGGAGGTCTTATATTTCCTGAATGGTGTGTTTAGTAAATCTTGACAATTCAACTAAATTGTATCATAGATTGGGAATGACTGTTCACAGTTCGTGGGGCCTCTTCTACTGAATGAGCTCTTAAAGGTTCGTTCCTTTACCTTTTTCTACCCAGTGCACATTGTACTTGAACCTATTTAACACAATGCTTTATAATTTTTCCATTCACGTGGATCGTTGAGATGGATTCATATTCCTACTGGCTAAAATAAGTGTTTAAACGTTCTTGATAGATTCAAAATTGAAAATCCTATCATTCCTTTGAATATTATGTCTGACTATATCTCTCACTATGTCGCCTTTAACTTTCTGCAGTCAATGCAACTTAATGAACCAGCGTGGATAGGTTACATCTATGCAATCTCAATCTTTGTTGGAGTGGTATGCAACAAATTCTTTTTTCTCTTTGCTGCCTTTTTTATTCTCTTGCATGGACTTCAAAGGATATAAAATAAAACTCTACTTTCCTTGGACTCTTTTCTCTCTTGCTAGGACGGACTTCATGGTATTTTTGATCTAGAGTAGATGGTACGAATTGTAGGACCAGTTTAAATATTTTAAGCTGGGTGTAATCTCTGTGTGATTCTTGTATTTGAAATAGCCTGATTCTAACCTTGGAGTTAGTTGTTTTTGTATGTTAGTACGTAGTACTATTGCATGTTTTGAAGATGTTTTTTTTAATGTAGTTTGGGGTGAGACTTGACCCATGGACTCCTTGATCGCTTGATGTTGATGTTGATTTTGACATTTTCAGGTATTGGGGGTTCTATGTGAAGCTCAGTATTTCCAAAATGTGATGCGTGTTGGTTACCGGCTTAGGTCTGCACTGGTAAGATGAAGTTTCACATCAATTATCTTTTGCTACTTAGTTTTTCTTTTTGCTCTGCTTCTCATGTTTTGATGCAAAACGTGTGCTGATATGTCTGTGGAAAGCTATAACAGATGCTTATAGATTGCTTCTTTCTGCTGATGACTTCCTCCCTTTATAGATTGCTGCTGTGTTCCGAAAATCGCTGAGGCTAACTAATGAAGGGCGGAAGAAGTTTCAAACAGGAAAAATAACAAACTTAATGACGACTGATGCTGAATCGCTGCAGGTGTATATCTTTGTTACCTTTTCTCTCTTTCGCCTTGTCTGTTTCTCGATATTAATTTACACTGCATAGTTGTATATCAACCTCAAAATATTAGTCTTAAATGCAGTTTACCAAGATAATCCTTTTCCTGTAAGTAAATTACTGAATCTAAAAGCTAATTCTAAGATTCAAGGAATCTAAAAGTTGTGATTACATTTTCAACACCCTTGTTCTTTTGTTGCCGTTGTAGGGGTTGGATTTTCCTTTGTTAGCCAATAAGCCTTTAATTTGCTTGATTTGTAGGAAAAAAACCTTTGGAGAGTGCTTTTATCTAAGCTTTGGCTTGAAATCAAGTGTTTATCTAGCTGATAGCTGTTATTTTTTCTAAAGTTTATCCTGTCTGTGACAGCAAATCTGCCAATCACTTCATACCATGTGGTCGGCGCCATTTCGTATAATTGTAGCGCTGGTTCTCCTCTACCAACAATTGGGTGTTGCCTCGATCATCGGTGCATTGTTTCTTGTCCTTATGTTCCCTATACAGGTTCGTATATCTTTATATTTCCTCATGCTCTTTGCTCTGTTGGTTGTTTTGCTTTTGAGTGCTTATTTCTCATTTGTTTCCCAATTTTCTCGGCTTCTCTCCTCATCTTCGTTTTCTTGTTTTATTTTGTTGAACCAGACTATTATTATAAGCAAGACGCAGAAGTTAACAAAAGAAGGGTTGCAGCGTACTGACAAGAGAATTGGCCTAATGAACGAGGTTTTAGCCGCAATGGATACAGTGAAGTACGATACTTTGGAAGACTGGAACCTGATATTTATTATTTGCATATTGGAAGTTTGAGGCAATGTTTAACTCACTAAACCAAAATACTGTAGGTGCTATGCTTGGGAAAACAGTTTTCAGTCCAAGGTTCAAACTGTACGTGATGATGAATTATCTTGGTTCCGGAAAGCACAACTCCTGTCAGCGGTATGGCTTGAGCGCAGTGACTACTATATTAATTTCTTATACAGACCGTTGGCATGGTGTGGATAGTTGTCTTAGTTGTCTTGGTCATTTACTTGTTGCCCTCCTAACAGTATAGTTGTATACACGGATAAATCCAAGCTGCTCGTCTAGTTAAATGCCTTTGACCATTTTGAGAGTGGTATTCATTAAGATGTGTTTAGCGCATTTTTTGTACTTTTTTCTAGTTCAGTGAACATTGTTTCAGTTGTTGCGGCCATGTTAGCAGCATCATGCACGTTCTTTAACCTATATTGCATTAATGTATTTCGATTTCCTCTTGTCATGGTAAATTTCTGACTCATTCATGGTCTTCTATTTGTGCTGCAGTTCAATATGTTCATTCTAAACAGCATTCCTGTCCTCGTGACTGTTGTTTCATTTGGTGTGTTCTCATTGCTTGGAGGAGATCTGACACCTGCAAGAGCGTTTACGTCACTTTCTCTATTTTCTGTGCTTCGCTTCCCTTTGTTCATGCTTCCAAACATTATAACTCAGGTGATTTCCTTAAAATGTTTCTTGAACCATGTTATCATGTTCAGTACTGAATAATGTGGCATCAGTGGTAATTGTTGTTTCTAGTTGTTCTTTTTATTTTCCATCTCCCTCTTTTTTTAGACCCGTCATTTTCATAATTCTTTTGCAGATGCTGACCAGGTTTTACTTTTGTAGATGGTAAATGCTAGTGTATCCTTAAACCGTTTGGAGGAGGTACTATCGACGGAAGAGAGAGTTCTCTTACCGAATCCTCCCATTGAACCTGGACAGCCAGCTATCTCAATAAGAAATGGATATTTCTCCTGGGATTCAAAGGTCTTCTTTGTCTATTTTATCCCATGTTCTTACGTCTATTAGTTTCTGTCATTATATATTGTCATTGAAGTACAAAAAGTGAGCTATAAGTATACATATGCAGGCGGATAGGCCAACCTTGTCAAATATCAACCTGGACATACCTCTTGGCAGCCTAGTTGCGGTAGTTGGCAGCACAGGAGAAGGAAAAACCTCCCTGATATCTGCTATGCTTGGGGAACTTCCTGCAAGATCTGATGCTACAGTTACTCTTAGAGGATCAGTCGCTTATGTTCCACAAGTTTCATGGATCTTTAACGCAACAGTAAGTTTATATATGCTGCTGTGTTTATAGTATGGTTCTCACTGCGAAAATGTCAAATTCTCCTCTTGGAATGTTAATTATTTTGTATGTACTATATGTTTTGTAATAATGGTGTGTGCTTTTAAATACGTCCGCATGCTGATGGTTGTAATTTACATTGCGTAGGTACGTGACAATATATTGTTTGGGGCTCCTTATGACCAAGAAAAATATGAAAGGGTGATTGATGTGACAGCACTGCAGCATGACCTTGAGTTACTGCCTGTAAGTTTTGTGGTGATTTCCTTTGCCATGTGCGTTGAAAATTTCCTGAGGTGAAATGAACCTTGAAATTTGTTGGTGCGATGTAAATCGAAAAAACTTAATTGCAGCAGTTCCGTTGGTAGCATGGACTTCTCTTTTCTAGTTCTCAGGTATATAAGCTTGTTTCCTCTTCTTTCTCTTGATTGATAGGGTGGTGACCTCACGGAGATTGGAGAAAGGGGTGTTAACATCAGTGGGGGACAAAAGCAGAGGGTTTCTATGGCTAGGGCCGTTTACTCAAATTCAGATGTGTGCATCTTCGATGACCCATTGAGTGCCCTTGATGCGCATGTTGGTCAGCAGGTAAACTAGCCATAGGCTCTTTTGGATAGAACAATGCTTTGTTTTCTTTCAATTTTGCAAATCTTGAACTCTATAACGTTTTGTTTTTCAATCTGCATGGATATTCTACTTCTTGTTTGCCACGGATCTGTCCCATATAACTGCTTTTAAGGAAACAATGTTATCTGATGTTCGAAACTGGCTGTTATATATAGGTTTTTGAAAAATGCATAAAAAGAGAACTAGGGCAGACAACGAGAGTACTTGTTACAAACCAGCTCCACTTCCTATCACAAGTGGATAAAATCCTACTTGTCCATGAGGGAACAGTAAAAGAAGAAGGAACATATGAAGAATTATGCCATAGTGGCCCATTGTTCCAGAGGTTAATGGAAAATGCAGGGAAGGTTGAAGAATATTCAGAAGAAATTGGAGAAGCTGAAGTAGATCAAACATCTGTAAAACCAGTTGAAAATGGGAACACTAATAATCTGCAGAAGGATGGAATCGAGACAAAGAAATCCAAAGAAGGAAACTCTGTGCTTGTCAAGCGAGAAGAACGTGAAACTGGAGTTGTGAGTTGGAAAGTCCTGGAGAGGTAAGTTGGCATTCAGATTTTTGCTCTTTCATTTTGTGTTGTTGCGGTATTCCTTTCTATCCACAGTGGAAATATCCGTAAATAAGACACATTTTTTTTGGTCCGGCAATATGTCAATTTATCTGTGGTGTTTCTTTACTACAAAATGGATATATATCGTTTGACTCGTTCTATTCATATTTCCTTATTAAGCTTCGTATTGAAAGGCCATTGTAATGACTAGTGAGGTGTCACCATGTTCCAGGTACCAGAATGCACTTGGAGGTGCATGGGTAGTGATGATGCTCCTTATATGCTACGTCTTGACTCAAGTATTTCGGGTTTCAAGCAGCACTTGGTTGAGTGAGTGGACTGATGCAGGAACTCCAAAGACTCATGGACCCCTATTCTATAATATTGTCTATGCGCTTCTTTCGTTTGGACAGGTATGAGTTGCATTTGGTAAATGTTTGAGACGGTATCTTCATGATCGCATAACAATATATAACTGAACATTAAAGGCTGATCAGTTAAGAAAAAATGTACACCATGTTTCTTCTGCGCCAAAGTATCGAGCAAACAAAATGGAAAAGAAAAGGATACAGAGAACAAAACGTTTGTGCTAAGACTTATTTCTTCTTGGTTTTTCAGGTCTCTGTGACATTGATCAATTCATATTGGTTGATTATGTCCAGTCTATATGCAGCTAAAAAGATGCATGATGCTATGCTTGGTTCCATACTAAGGGCTCCAATGGTCTTCTTTCAAACCAATCCATTAGGACGGATAATCAATCGATTTGCTAAAGATATGGGCGATATTGATCGAACTGTGGCAGTCTTTGTAAACATGTTTATGGGTTCAATCGCACAGCTTCTTTCAACTGTTATCTTGATTGGCATTGTCAGCACTCTGTCCCTGTGGGCCATCATGCCCTTGTTGGTCGTGTTCTATGGAGCTTATCTGTATTACCAGGTAACATACCTTCTAAACGCAATGCTTTCTCAATTCATAAATGTTTCAGAGAATACAGATCGAGATATCGAAAACTGAGACCAAAAAGGAACACTGATAGTGTTAAGTCTTCTATTATACTCTGCATTTTTAACATTCGACTTACAGTTTTTATGATTGTACAAGTTTGCTTGTCTTTGGTACTTGAGTTCTCATATCTTAACTGTCAGCAAAAAACAGCCCTAGTCACATCTGTTGTGTCTAAACCTGTTTCTTTCCTTATTGTAGAACACATCTCGTGAAATTAAACGTATGGATTCCACTACAAGATCGCCAGTTTATGCTCAATTTGGAGAGGCATTGAATGGGCTATCTAGTATCCGTGCTTATAAAGCATATGACAGGATGGCTGAAATTAACGGAAGGTCAATGGATAATAACATCAGATTCACACTTGTAAACATGGCTGCAAATCGGTGGCTGGGAATTCGTTTGGAAGTTTTGGGAGGTCTCATGGTTTGGTTGACTGCGTCATTAGCCGTCATGCAGAACGGAAAGGCAGAGAACCAACAAGCATATGCATCTACGATGGGTTTGCTTCTCAGTTATGCGTTAAGCATTACCAGCTCTTTAACAGCTGTACTGAGACTCGCGAGTCTAGCTGAGAATAGTTTAAACTCGGTTGAGCGTGTTGGAAATTATATCGAGATACCATCAGAGGCTCCATTGATCATTGAAAACAACCGTCCACCTCCCGGATGGCCATCATCTGGATCCATAAAATTCGAGGATGTTGTTCTTCGTTACCGCCCTGAATTACCTCCTGTTCTCCATGGAGTTTCGTTCTTGATTTCTCCAATGGATAAGGTGGGAATTGTTGGAAGAACAGGCGCTGGGAAATCAAGCCTCTTAAATGCCTTATTCCGGATTGTGGAGCTCGAAAAAGGAAGGATCTTGATCGATGAATGCGACATTGGCAGATTTGGACTGAGAGACCTACGTACAGTGCTCGGAATCATACCACAGGCGCCAGTTCTTTTCTCAGGTATGTCTCACATTGCTTCTGGTACTTATATTTATTCTTCTGCTTCTGGTATTTATCTGTCTTAAAGTCAAAATAATGTATACTATGCCAATAACTTATATGTAGGTACTGTGAGATTCAATCTCGACCCATTTAGTGAACACAACGATGCCGATCTTTGGGAATCTCTTGAGAGGGCACACTTGAAAGATACTATACGCAGAAATCCTCTTGGTCTTGATGCTGAGGTACTTAATTTACATTTCCTCTCTAGAAATTCCCTTGTGTTCAGTAATAAGTCAGTCTTTTTGGTCAGGTAACTGAGGCAGGAGAGAATTTCAGTGTTGGACAGAGACAGTTGTTGAGTCTTGCACGTGCATTGTTGCGAAGATCTAAGATACTTGTTCTTGATGAAGCAACTGCTGCTGTTGACGTTAGAACTGATGTTCTCATCCAAAAGACCATCCGAGAAGAATTCAAGTCCTGCACGATGCTAATCATCGCTCATCGTCTCAATACTATCATTGACTGTGACAAAGTTCTCGTCCTTGATTCTGGAAAAGTACGCACACTTCATCTTCCAACACTATTTGCATCAATCCAACCCCACTTTTGAGATCTGCTTTATGACTTCAGCTAATATAAATTGAAATTCCCAACACCTCAGGTTCAGGAATTCAGTTCACCGGAGAATCTTCTTTCAAACGGAGAAAGTTCTTTCTCGAAGATGGTTCAAAGTACAGGAACTGCAAACGCGGAGTACTTACGTAGTATAACACTTGAGAACAAACGTACCAGAGATGCTAACGGTGATGATTCACAACCTTTAGAAGGTCAGAGGAAATGGCAAGCTTCTTCTCGCTGGGCTGCAGCGGCTCAGTTTGCTTTGGCTGTGAGCCTCACTTCATCTCACAACGACCTTCAAAGCCTTGAAATCGAAGATGATAACAGCATTTTGAAGAAAACGAAGGACGCCGTCGTCACTCTACGCAGTGTTCTTGAAGGGAAACACGATAAAGAGATTGAAGACTCTCTTAACCAAAGTGACATCTCTAGAGAGCGTTGGTGGCCATCTCTTTACAAAATGGTTGAAGGTAGCGTTATTCGTAAGATTTTCGATACGACATAAAGAAATGTTGAAGTTTCTTGATCTAATAATTTGTGTATATACTCTCAGGGCTTGCGGTGATGAGCAGATTGGCGAGGAACCGAATGCAACACCCGGATTACAATTTAGAAGGGAAATCGTTTGACTGGGACAATGTTGAGATGTAAACGATGAAAGGCTTACATTACTAGACCTAAAAATCCCAAATCCCATATTGATGAACTTTTATATGTATTGCTTGGGATACACGTAACAAAATACCCATTTTTGTGGTGTAACTATATAGGCTATACTTCTTTTGGGTAAGTGTTTGTTTACCCGAGGATGGGATGCTATACATAATTCGAATTCAATTTCTAGGTCATTTAAAAGCAAAATTGAAAAGAAAAAAAAAATCTCAAATGAGTGCAACATGGTTTCAACTCATGGAGAAGCATTTGACAGAAATTCTCACAGGACCATGTTTTGTCATTGCCATTTTCCACTAAAATGACCTATCAAACATATTGTGATGAAAACAACAACTTAAATTATAAATTGCAATAAAAAATTTATTTTTTTAAGAAGAAAGTATTATCCCCGCGCATGGGATACTTACCTAGTAACTTACATATACATAAAGCCAAAAGACCGATAGAAGTTAATTGGTTTCTGTGTCACGTAAGCCATGACCGATGATACTTTGTTTTTATTAGTATAAATGCCAAATATAGCAGATAACAAACAACAAATCCAATTTCATTAAGATTTTATATTTAAATTAAAAGAAGATAATACTATATTCGTTTTAAATTAAGTGTCATTTTAAAACTTAAATTTTATTTTAAAATAGATATCGCTTTATATTTTCAAAGCAAATCTTTTATAAAAACTACAGTTTTATCGCCACTAATTTAAAGTATTAACCAATAAAAAAAATTTATAGCGTATATTAATCTATATTATTAATTGGGAATCACTCAAAACTAACAAACCTTATTTTGGTAGATTAATTACAATGAATGCCATTAGAATTATTGAATTTAAAAAATAAAAGAAAAAAATTCGAAAAAATATGTTCAAAAAAATATATATATATTTTGTTGAGCATTTTTCTTTTGGTCAAAAATATATATTCAAAAAGTATATATATTTATTTCGTTGGAGTATTAACAATATATATTCTAAAAGATTTTTCTGTCTTTTCTATCCAAAACTCAAACAAACTAAATTTACTGTTATGATTTAATAAGGTTTCCATAACAATTGACAATAATAAATTCGAAATAATAAAATGGAAAATACAACTGTTTACGATTAAATGAAATCTTAAATTAGTTTACAAAATCATATCACAACAATTATTATACTTGCCAAATATAACTCTAATTACAGATTATTTTTCTTTTTTTTTAGTCAAGCATATAACTCGAATCTATATTTAATACTTTGAATATATATTTTTGACCAAATGTCGTATAACATATTACAATTAAAATAAAATATTGCTTGCAATCATATATTTAAAATGTTTCTTTCAATTTATCTAGCATAGCATGTGCCAAATAAAAAAAAATTGGGACGGGTAAAGTTTATTTCGTGATAGAAATTTTGGAAAATTTGGGTATTTTCTAAAACATAGTAGTGAAATATTGAGAAAATAAAGAAAATATGGATAACCTCCACTAATTATGTAAAAATTAAATATCCAAACGAAAATACATAAAATACGGGTATTCCATCCGAATCCTAGACCTAAACGATATACAATCACAAACGAGTAAATTAACGCTTATATGATTAAATGTATGTGGTAGATATGTGACCATACGGATTTTCTGTCTCAAAATTGATATGTCTATTTTTTCTCTCTCTTTTTAATTATGTAATTGTCTTTACTGTAACCAAAAACAAACCCGATTAATTATTTTGTCTAAACCAAATTGAAACTAAACCGAATACCAAATTGATATGAGGTAGGATAATGAATGTTATACCAAATAAATACATCTACAAATATAATCCCGCACGAACGTGCGGGTCCGAATCTAGTAAAATATAAAACATAATTTTTTTTTTTGCTTTAATATGTGTGTCTAAACTTTTAACGATTCTTATTTATATACAGAGAGAGTATTAATATATGTTTCGTAAAATTATTTTCTTAATCATTTCCATAAAAATAAAAATAAAAGCTTTGTTTATTAATTTTAATATTATGCACATTGTTTGATAATTAAATAGATTTTTGTCTCACAAGCGTCAATGGTGATTAATTAAAAAAAAAATGTTATCTCATAATCACACACACGTGAATACACATATGTATGTGGAGAATCTTTTAACTTTGGATTTGGTTTTGATAGAGAGATGAAGCCAGCAACAGTGACTGGTTCGTCGTTACGCTGCTTGAGTGCTTCTCGAGTTGGCTTCTCCTACCCAAAAGTCTCTCTTATATATTGCCCAGTGATTGAGTTTACTTTGGCAAAGCTCCAATTTTTGGGTCTTATTGGAACAATCACGAAGCAAAAGTGTAATCCTTTTCTTTCTTTTTCCCCATAAATCATCTCTCTCCTCCTCTGTATTAGCGTTTCAGTTGCTTTGGGTCTTTTAGGATCACTAAAGCTTAATTGGACTTTAGTAAAGGTTTTAGCTTTTTGGAAACGCCTTGTTATTCTACTGGTCAATTCTTGCTTGTAATAATCTATGACAGTTGCTTTGGTAAAGGTTTTAAATTTGGGCATGAAAATGTGTGTTGCGTAGCCTTTTCATTAGTCTAAAGCAAATGCCTTTTTTCCTTTTTTCTTTTCCAGTTTGTGTATTCAAGGTTTGATTGAAAAAGAGATGGGTTTTGAAGCTTTGAATTGGTATTGCAAGCCAATTGCAGACGGATTTTGGGAAAAGGCAGTGGATGGTGCCTTTGGCGCCTATACGCCTTGTGCCATTGACTCACTTGTGATGCTTGTTTCTCACTTTGTGCTTCTGGGTTTGTGTTTCTACCGGATATGGATCATCTTCCACAATACCAAAGCTCAGATTTATGTTTTGAGGAAGAAGTATTATAATTGTGTGCTAGGGTTATTGGCTTGTTACTGTGTTGTTGAGCCTGTACTGAGATTGTTCATGGGGATTTCACTCTTTGACATGGATGAAGACACTGATCTTCCTCCCTTTGAGGTGATTTCGGAATAGTAACTCTGATTCTCAATCATATGGTCGTGTCGAGATTAAACTCACATGCCCTTCTCATTGAAATGAAAGCTCAAGATCAGAAATAAAGTACGATTATGGTGTTATTCGTTGGCAGGTTTCATCTTTAATGGTTGAGGCATTCGCTTGGTTCTCCATGCTTGTTTTGATCGGACTAGAAACCAAACAATATGTCAAAGAGTTCAGATGGTATGTGAGATTTGGTGTTTTATATGTTTTGGTTGCTGATGCTGTGCTGCTGGATCTTGTGTTGCCTCTCAAGAACTCAATCAATAGGTGTGTTCTTGTATATTTCATATAAATGAACTCTATTGGGTGATTCGACGTTAAATCTCAGGAGTCTGAGTATATTTTTGACAAGAGTAAAAGTTTTGGGCATTGGTAGCTTTTGCTGTGAAGTTCATAATTAGTTTTTCTCTATTTCCTATTGCAGAACTGCCCTATATCTCTGTATCAGTTCAAGATGTTCCCAGGTTTGTTAGAACAATGTCAAAAGCTTGCAATTTAATGTTCTCTGTATAAGCTTGCAATTTATTGTTATGAGAACTTGCATCCAAAAGCTTCAAACTTACAGGCCTCACTGCGTAAGTATTTCATTTGTTTTCTGTTGTAGGCTCTTTTTGGAATTCTTCTTCTTATTTACATTCCGGAACTGGACCCTTATCCGGGTTACCATATTGTAAACGATGAACCGTCAGACAATGTTGAATATGATGCACTTCGAGGGGGAGAGCACATATGTCCCGAGCGACATGCCAGCATATTTTCCAGTAGGTATCCCCTGAATTGATAAACGAAATTTATTGAATGCTCAGTCTATTGGCAAACAATACTTGTTTGGCGATATATATAATAGCCATGAAGACTGAAGAGTATATTAGCTCCATGATTTCTTATTATTCCTCTGATTTGGATTTCTTGTCTTAGGAATATACTTTGGTTGGATCACGCCGCTTATGCAGTTAGGCTACAGAAAACCCATAACAGAGAAGGATGTTTGGCAATTAGACAAATGGGACCAGACAGAAACTCTAATCAAAAGGTACAGAAGTACTGCTACGTTGCTTTTGCCTTCTTTTTTTGTGGTGAAGGTTTTGTTTAGAATCAAGAACATTCTCTTATTCACTGGATAAGTTATTTGACAGATTCCAAAGATGTTGGACTGAAGAATCACGGAGACCTAAGCCGTGGCTTCTCCGAGCACTAAATAATAGCCTTGGTCGAAGGTAAAAGCTGATGTTTTTGACTACAATTTGTCTATTCCGCTGTACTAGTTTTCTTTAAAGCCTGACAATATAGATAGTGGCATTAATTTTTCTCTTTTCTGTCTTTGTAGATTCTGGTTGGGTGGTATTTTCAAGGTAACTTGTGTTCCTCTCGGTTGGTTAAAATAGATCCCAAAAAATCTCTTGATTGTTACTTTTCCATGCATTAGGTCTGACCTGCATTCACAGTAATGTTCAGTTCTGTATTTGAAAACTCTCAAGCAATTTATACATAATGTTTTAGCGTGTTGTAGATTGGAAATGATCTTTCTCAATTTGTTGGACCGGTTATACTGAGCCATCTATTGCGGGTAAGCTCTCTTTCTGCTCACTCCCTACTAAAAAATTATTGCATAAGTTGTTTTTTGCCTGTGACTATGTTTCACACGTACTCAACGGTCATTACACATCATTTTTTGAGGTTTTATATATACATATAGCTTTTAGAATTGAGAAAACAATGCAGTGACATATATTTCTCATACAGGAGTGATTCTTATCTCACATTTTAAATGACTGTTAATTTATGAGCATTTTGTTGCATCTACTTTGGTTATTTTGTTGCATCTACATTTTTATGGCCCATGATCTCTCTGACCTGATCCCGTGCTACTCTGGTTTATTGAATCTAACTTAAACAAATCTTTGACCATGTTATGTAGTCAATGCAAGAAGGTGATCCAGCTTGGGTTGGCTATGTCTATGCTTTCATTATATTCGTTGGGGTGGTATATATCACAAAATTCGTCTCTGCTCTCTAAATATCATTTATATTTTTCTCATCATTTTACTTCTCATATTGTTGATTTTCTTGTCAAAACCATTGAAAAGCTATTCCATTTCGATATTGCTACAGACACTTGGAGTGCTTTGCGAAGCCCAGTACTTTCAGAATGTATGGCGGGTGGGATTTCGGTTGAGATCAACTTTGGTAATAATTTTGTGAAACTTGCATTTCTCTCCGACTTGTATAATCATTTAGTCATGTTTATTCTCCAACTAAGTATACTAATTTCCTTGTAGGTTGCAGCTATATTCCACAAATCGCTAAGACTAACTCATGAAGCTCGCAAGAATTTTGCATCTGGGAAAGTAACAAACATGATAACTACAGATGCTAATGCACTTCAGGTATACTTAGGTTCAGTTAAACTACTTTTGCATAACTGTGGATTTGTAATTGCTAACATAGTCTCCTTATTTTTACAGCAAATATCACAACAGCTCCATGGCTTATGGTCAGCTCCCTTTCGCATCATTGTGTCTATGATTCTTCTCTATCAACAACTAGGAGTTGCTTCGCTTTTCGGTTCATTGATTCTGTTTCTACTAATTCCTCTCCAGGTATTTAGCTTCATTAATTCTGTTGTTTTATCTATTTTAAAATTGTATAAGTTGTTGTAAATGCATATGTTTCTTGAAATTCAGACTCTGATTATAAGCAAAATGCGGAAACTGACTAAAGAAGGACTCCAGTGGACTGACAAAAGAGTCGGTATCACGAATGAGATATTGTCATCCATGGATACTGTAAAGTATGTTTGATATTTTATTAGTATTCATTTTTCAGCTTTTCTGAATGGCACATTCTTAAAGCAGTTATTCTATAACTCTTTTGGAATTTTCCAACTTTGTTAGATGCTATGCATGGGAGAAGAGCTTCGAGTCCCGGATTCAAGGAATTAGAAATGAAGAGCTCTCATGGTTTCGTAAAGCACAGTTACTATCAGCTGTATGACTCCTTATCTTTGAATTTGTATTGCCTGTCATTTTGTTATATGCATTTAGTTTTGTATGACTTAATTACTCTAGGTAAACTCAGATTTACCTATCTTCCACTTTTAACAATTTATTCCTCTTGCAGTTTAATAGTTTTATACTGAATAGCATCCCGGTAGTTGTGACTGTGGTTTCTTTTGGCGTTTTCGTTCTGCTCGGAGGAGATTTGACACCAGCAAGAGCATTCACATCTCTTTCTCTCTTTGCAGTACTAAGATTTCCTCTCAATATGCTACCAAATCTTCTAAGTCAGGTTATTTTTAACAATCATCCTACTGGTCTGCATTTGATCCCTCATGTGCCAATGAATTTACTCTTCATATTATAGTTATCTTCTTTTGCTACTTCTCTACTTAGGTTGTCAATGCTAATGTTTCACTACAACGCATTGAGGAACTACTTCTAAGTGAAGAGAGAATTCTAGCACAAAACCCACCTCTTCAACCAGGAACTCCAGCCATTTCAATTAAGAATGGATATTTTTCATGGGATTCAAAGGTGAATCCTCAAAATATTCCCTTTTATTTATATTATATTGGCATGTAATACTAGCTTCTGCAATGCTCAGTATACATGACATTCTGATCACGGTGTTTGCTCGAATAATTCCCAGACAACCAAGCCCACATTATCCGATATCAATTTGGAGATACCGGTGGGCAGCTTGGTTGCCATTGTAGGTGGAACTGGAGAAGGTAAGACGTCACTTATTTCGGCAATGCTGGGGGAGTTATCTCATGCTGAAACCTCGACCTTTGTTATTAGAGGCTCTGTAGCTTATGTTCCTCAAGTTTCGTGGATCTTTAATGCCACTGTGAGTCGCTTTTACTTCTTGCTGGATCTGTAAATAAAAACTATCTTATATCAGTAGCTTTATTTTCATTTGGTCAGTTAGTTTGGCTAGAAGTGTCTCAATAAAAGTGTATATGTATTGCAGGTGCGTGAAAACATTTTATTTGGGTCAGATTTTGAGTCTGAAAGATATTGGAGGGCTATTGATGCTACTGCCTTACAACACGATCTTGATTTGCTTCCAGTTAAGTGGAATGAAAGGTTTACACAACCAAGTAACATGTACTTGATATGACATTTCTTAGTAACTTCCTGAACTTTGCTTATTCAGGGTCGTGATCTTACTGAGATTGGAGAACGTGGGGTGAATATTAGTGGAGGGCAGAAGCAGAGAGTTTCAATGGCTAGGGCAGTCTACTCAAATTCAGATGTTTACATATTCGATGATCCTTTGAGTGCATTAGATGCTCATGTTGCTCACCAGGTATTCTCGTAGCTGATATTAATGTCTGTTCAGCCATTTCATCTACGAGGAATCCGCATGATTTAATATCCACTGTGTTAGAATTTTATTTCTCAGTTATTTTTTAAGGTACATCTAACGACAGACTTCTCTGAATCACAAGTAACAGGTCTTTGATAGCTGCATGAAGGATGAGCTAAGGGGGAAAACAAGGGTTCTTGTCACAAATCAGCTACATTTTCTTCCTTTGATGGATAGAATAATTTTAGTCTCCGAAGGAATGATTAAAGAGGAGGGAACCTTTACAGAGCTGTCAAAAAGTGGGAGTTTGTTCAAGAAACTAATGGAGAATGCTGGAAAAATGGACGCAACCCAAGAGGTCAATACAAATGACGAGGACATTTTGAAACTGGGTCCTACTGTCACGATTGATGTGAGTGAAAGAAATCTTGGCAGTACCAAGCAAGGGAAACGGAGAAGATCTGTGCTTGTAAAGCAAGAAGAACGGGAAACTGGCATCATTAGTTGGAATGTTCTGATGAGGTACATTTTTCTTTGGCCAGAAGAAGATCAACTTTAATCGTTTAACCGAAACGAAAACTAGTTGTGCTAAACATAGTTTAACAATAGAACATTACTTTATATTTATGCAAAAAAACAAAAGAAGCAAATGAACATTGCTTAATGTAGTTTCCAATTTTCAGGTATAAAGAAGCAGTAGGCGGCTTATGGGTAGTTATGATTCTATTAGCATGCTATTTAACAACTGAAGTTCTCCGAGTTTCAAGTAGCACATGGTTAAGTATTTGGACTGATCAAAGCACGTCAAAGAGTTATAGCCCCGGTTTTTACATTGTTGTATATGCTCTTCTCGGATTTGGTCAGGTTTGTATCTGTAAAAGACTGAGATATGTAATTTTTGAAAATTGCACGAAGTTGACGATTTTTGTGGTCATTGTTTTAGGTGGCTGTCACGTTCACCAACTCCTTTTGGCTGATCACATCAAGTTTACATGCCGCCAAAAGACTCCATGACGGGATGCTAAGTTCTATTCTTCGAGCTCCTATGCTCTTCTTCCACACAAACCCAACTGGACGTGTAATAAACAGATTTTCTAAGGATATTGGTGATATAGATAGAAACGTGGCCAACCTAATGAATATGTTCATGAACCAGCTATGGCAACTCCTCTCGACATTTGCTCTTATAGGTACTGTCAGTACAATTTCATTGTGGGCAATAATGCCACTCCTAATACTGTTTTATGCAGCATATCTCTACTATCAGGTAATTTTCTACTTCATGTCAATATCAAATACATGCACAATTAATGTTAAACTATATGATCCACTTGGAATTAATAGAGCGTTTTTGTGATTTGTAGAGCACATCCCGTGAAGTGAGACGTTTGGATTCCGTTACAAGATCACCTATTTATGCTCAGTTTGGAGAAGCTTTGAATGGTTTGTCAAGTATCCGAGCCTACAAAGCCTATGACCGGATGGCCAAGATTAATGGAAAATCCATGGACAACAACATAAGGTTCACTCTTGCAAATACTAGCTCAAATCGTTGGCTCACTATAAGATTGGAGACTCTTGGGGGTGTGATGATTTGGTTAACTGCAACTTTTGCGGTTCTGCAAAATGGGAATGCAGAGAACCAAGCTGCTTTTGCATCAACGATGGGTCTCCTTCTTAGTTACACTCTGAATATCACTAGTCTATTAAGTGGTGTTCTAAGGCAAGCTAGCAGAGCGGAGAACAGCTTGAATTCTGTTGAGCGTGTTGGTAACTACATTGATCTTCCTTCTGAGGCTACAGATATAATTGAGAACAATCGTCCAGTAGCTGGCTGGCCTTCAAGAGGATCAATTAAGTTCGAAGACGTCCACCTGCGTTATCGACCCGGGCTTCCTCCAGTATTGCATGGGCTGACCTTTTTTGTTTCTCCCAGTGAGAAAGTAGGAGTTGTGGGAAGAACTGGGGCAGGAAAATCTTCCATGCTGAATGCATTATTTCGGATCGTGGAAGTGGAAAAGGGAAGAATTATGATTGATGATTGTGATGTGGCTAAGTTCGGACTAACAGATTTACGCAGGGTTCTAAGTATCATACCACAATCTCCTGTTCTTTTCTCAGGTTCGTGTGTATTTAAGACAACAATGCAAGTGTGTTCTTGCATTCTGTTGCTCATTATGAGAATCAATTTGTTCTTTTTAGGGACGGTGAGATTCAATATCGATCCATTTAGTGAACATAATGATGCTGACCTCTGGGAAGCTCTACAAAGGGCGCATATAAAAGATGTCATCAGCAGGAATCCTTTTGGCCTAGATGCAGAGGTATTAGTTTATCTTAAAAGACATAGTTTAATCAGATTTATTATTAGATGCATAAAGCATTCTTTGTTTTTTTATGATTGAGATTATTGATCAAACTCTCACTCACTTTGAGTCTGTGAAGGTCTCTGAGGGAGGTGAGAATTTCAGCGTGGGGCAAAGGCAACTGCTGAGTCTTGCGCGTGCGTTGCTAAGAAGATCTAAGATCCTTGTTCTCGATGAAGCAACAGCATCTGTTGATGTCAGAACAGATTCTCTGATACAGAGGACCATCCGTGAGGAATTCAAGTCTTGTACAATGCTTGTTATCGCTCACAGATTGAATACCATCATCGACTGCGACAAGATCCTTGTGCTTAGTTCTGGTCAGGTAAAGCCAGGATTATTGTTCATAGAACTCGCTTAAGAGGATTCTGGTACATAGTAGTAACGTCTTGTGTGACTTACATAAAACTATGTCAATTTTGTTAGGTTTTGGAGTATAATAGTCCACAAGAATTGCTATCAAGAGATACAAGCGCCTTCTTTAGGATGGTTCATAGCACCGGACCAGCAAATGCTCAGTACCTTTCCAATTTGGTCTTTGAAAGGCGAGAGAATGGTATGAGTTTGGGTGGATAAAAATGGTCACTAGTCTTCCAAAATGAGTCTTGTTTGTGAAAACAAGAACTATAATGGAAGTTGCAATTTACACTTTGCATGATGATGGAATATTCATCACTACCATTTACCAAAGTCCCAATGTTACAAGGTGATAGTCTTATGCTGAACAATTGAAGGTAAACCTAAAATTTGCAGCCATGAACATTACGCAATACGCATTATAGCACTCTTGTTTACATGTGATCTTTTGAGGCAGATGCTGATTCTTGCAAATGTTCTTTTGTTCTTTAGGGATTTGTGCAACGGTGAAGTTAGAAGGCAGAGGATTGGGACATTGGAGAAATCTTTTAGAAGCTTATGATCCCTTTTTCCGATTTGTAGCATAGCAATACAAGAGCTTCTTATGAAGTATCGGTCCATGTGTTCATATGTATAAAGACTTCATAAAACTAATGTTCTGCAAAAAAAAATAAAGTTGTGTTCTTGATTAATATATTTTCATGGTATAATTTCTCCTCAAAATCCTCCATGAAATTTCACATTAGCTTGCTAATTATAATTTTTATATATCTATGTATTTTTCTATAATATGTAAGGGATACAATGTCTTTTAATATAAGATTGAATGAACACATAATGAATCTTGTAGTCAATAAAAATTTTATAAAAGACAAAAGTATAAAAATTTTAGAATCAACACTACTAATAAATGATTATTTTCCACTACAAATAAAAAAATTGTATTAATTTTAGTAAACAATATTGACAACAATTATAGGAACCCACGAAGAAATTACAAAGTTTGAAAATAACGAAAATGGAGTCTCTCTCTCAGACACATAAGAAGATGTATGAAGTCGCAATATGCATTATAGAGGATGAGAGATCATTGACAAAGCTTCGATTTTGTGTATTTTTAGGAATAATCGCCAACCAAAAGGGTAAGCTTTTCTTCTTCCCCTAAAGCCTGTCTCTCCTTTTCTCTGTATAAGTTCACTTTTTTTGGTTGGTCAACGATTTGGCTCTTTTAGGATCACTAAACCAAATTGTTGGACTTTAGTAAAAGGTTTTAGCTTTTTTGGAAATGAGTTCAATGGTTTTGGAACCTTAGAAATCACTCAGACTACGTTGAGTGGATTATCAAGAAAATGCTCCATTGTTATTCTACTATGTGCAAATTTTGCTTGTGAAAGTTATGAATTACTGCGTTTTGAAAGTATTACGCAAATGCCTTTTGTTTTTCCAGTTTGAGTATTCAAGGTTCGATTGAAAAAAGGATGGGTTTTGAGGCCTTGAATTGGTACTGCAAGCCAATTGCAGAAGGATTTTGGGAAAAAACACCGGATGGTGCGTTTGGTGCATACACGCCTTGTGCGATTGACTCACTAGTGATGATTGTTTCTAACTCTGTGCTTCTGAGTTTGTGTTTCTACCGGATATGGATCACCTTGGACAATGCCAAAGCTCAGATTTATGTTTTGAGGAAGAAGTATTATAACTGTGTACTAGGGATATTGGCTTCTTACTGTGTTGTTGAGCCTTTACTGAGATTGTTCATGGGGATTTCGCTTTTTGACATGGGTGATGAGACTGATCTTCCTCCCTTTGAGGTGAATTCGAAAGAGTAACTCTGATTCTTAATCATATGGTCTTCTTGTTTAAATCCTGAAATCAAGTATGGTTCTGTTGTTATTCAATGGCAGGTTGCATCCTTATCGGTTGAGGCATTCGCTTGGTTCTCCATGCTTGTTTTGATTGGACTCGAAACCAAACAATATGTTAAAGAGTTCCGATGGTACGTGAGACTCGGTGTTGTGTATGTTTTGGTTGCTGATGCTGTGCTGCTGGACCTTCTGTTGCCTCTCAAGAACTCAATCAATAGGTTAGTTATTGTTTTTTGGTGATTCAACATATAAACTTTCAAGAGTTCATTTATCTTACAATCTTTTGAAAGTGGGAAAAAGTTTTGGGCATTGGTAGCTGTAGCCTTAAATTACATATTAATTTTTCCTTTATTTGCTATTGCAGAACTGCCCTATATCTCTGTATCAGTTCAAGATGTTGCCAGGTTTGTCAATTACGTATAAGCTTGCAATTCATTGTTCTGGGAACAAAAGCTTCAGACCTTATAATGATTATGTTTTCGTTTGTTTTCTGGCACAGGCTCTTTTTGGAATCCTTCTTCTTGTTTTCATTCCTGAATTGGACCCTTATCCAGGTTACCATATTCTAAACAATGAATCGTTAGACAATGTTGAATATGATGCACTTCGTGGGGGAGAGAACATATGTCCCGAGCGATATGCCAGCATATTTTCTGGTATGTAGCCCCTGAATTGATAAACAAATTTTATTGAATGCTCATTCTTTTAGCAAACGATCCATGTTAGGCAAATAATATATAATAGCCATGATTTCTTTTTGTTCCACTGATTAGGATTTCTTGTTTACTTATTGACAAATGTAAGGAATATACTTTAGTTGGATGACGCCACTTATGCAGCTGGGCTACAAAAAGCCTATAACTGAGAAGGATGTTTGGCGATTAGACCAATGGGACCAAACAGAAACTCTGATAAAAAGGTATATATAGAAGTAGTGCTGCTTTGCTTCTGCCTTCTGCAGTATTACTTCTCTTATATCTATGTTAAAAGGTTTCGTTTAGAATCAAGTAACATTCTTATTCATTAGATAAGTTATTTGACAGATTCCAAAGTTGCTGGACTGAAGAATCACGGAGGCCTAAGCCATGGCTACTCCGAGCACTAAATAATAGCCTTGGTCGAAGGTAAAAGTTGATGATTTTTCTAAAAAACCGTCTATTCCACTGTAGTTTTTCTGTAAAACCACACATTATAGATACTGGCATCAATTTTTTCTTTCCACTGTCTTTGTAGGTTCTGGTTGGGTGGTATTTTCAAGGTAAGGATACTGTGGTTGTGATTTTTTGAATCGTGTGCTTTTGATTCGTTGTTCCTTGAACTCGTGTTTTGTCTCTCAACTGGTTATGATAGTTCCTAAAAACGCTCTTGATTGTTATTTTCTTGTGCATCAGGTCTGACCTGCATCCAAAGTAATGTTCAGTTCTGTATTTGACAACTCTCAAGCAATTTATACATCATGTTTTAGCGTGTTGCAGGTTGGGCATGATCTATCTCAATTTGTTGGACCAGTTATACTGAGCCATATCCTGCTGGTAAGCTTTCTTTTTGGCCCATGATTTATGTTTCCCACGCACTCAATGGTCATTATATTTTGGCTCTGCAGATTATCTCACATTTTAAATGACTGATAATTTATGAGCATTTTGTTGACTCTATATCAGGGATCTCGCTGACCTTATACGCAGGCAATATATATTGATCTAACTTAAATAAGTCTTTGATCGTTTAATGTAGTCAATGCTAGAAGGTGATCCAGCTTGGGTTGGCTATGTCTATGCTTTCTTAATTTTCTTTGGGGTGGTATGTATCACAAAATTCGTCTCTGATCTCTAAAATACTATTGGGTCACTTACTTTTTTTCTCCAAACTGTCGTGTTTCATTTTATACTCTTCCTCAGTGAATACACAAAAAAAACTTCAGAATTTAGTTCTCACATTGTTGTCTATCTTGTTGAAACCTCTGAAAAGCTATTCTGATTTTGTTTCAGACATTTGGAGTGCTTTGTCAATCTCAGTACTTTCAAAATGTTGGGCGAGTGGGATTTCGGTTGAGGTCAACTTTGGTAAAATTTGTGAAACTTCCATTTTTCTGACTTGTACGATCTCTTTAGCCATGTTTAGTCTCCAACTAATTATGCTAATTTCCTCATAGGTTGCAGCTATATTCCACAAATCTTTAAGACTAACCAATGAAGCTCGCAAGAATTTTGCATCTGGGAAAGTCACAAACATGATAACTACTGATGCTAATGCACTTCAGGTATACTTAAGTTCAGTGAAATTCCATCTTCTTTCTCAGTTTGGTCCATATTCTATTTGCACAACTATGGATTTGTAACTGCTAACATAGTCTCCGGAGTTTTTCAGCTAATAGCAGAACAGCTCCATGGTTTATGGTCAGCTCCCTTTCGCATCATTGTGTCTATGGTTCTTCTCTATCAACAACTAGGAGTTGCTTCAATTTTCGGTTCACTCATTCTATTTCTCCTAATTCCTCTCCAGGTATTCAGCTTTGTTATGTTCTTTTGACTATTTTTCAATCGCACAAGTTGTGGTAATCGCATCTGTTTACATAAAAGCCCGCCTATTCTGTTTCTTATAAAATTAGACTCTGGTTGTAAGAAAAATGCGGAAACTTACTAAAGAAGGACTCCAGTGGACTGACAAAAGAGTCGGTATCATATATGAGATTTTGGCATCCATGGATATTGTAAAGTATGATTGATATTCCTAATTGTTTCCTTTTCAGCTTTTATGAATGGTACATTCTTAAACCAGTTATTCTACTATTTTCTCTTGGGATTTTCCAACTTTGTTAGATGCTATGCATGGGAGAAGAGCTTCGAGTCCCGGATTCAAGGAATTAGAAACGAAGAGCTCTCATGGTTTCGTAAAGCGCAGTTACTATCAGCTGTATGACTCCTTATCTTTGATTTTTAATTGCCTAACATTTCGGGGGAAACCACTAACAGGTTTCACCTATCTTGTTTTCCCTTAGTTCCACATATGTCTTGAATTAGGTTATAGTAATTTTAGCTTAAATGCAGTTTTACGTTCCCTAACGTTTTTTCCTCTTGCAGTTCAATAGTTTTATACTGAACAGCACCCCAGTTGTTGTGACCTTGGTTTCATTTGGGGTTTTTGTTCTGCTTGGAGGAGATTTGACACCAGCAAGGGCATTCACATCTCTTTCTCTATTTGCAGTTCTAAGATCTCCTCTCAGCACGCTACCAAATCTCATAAGTCAGGTTATTTTAACAATTATCCCCTCTTCAGTTATTTCATTTACCTCAGTTATATCACTCATGTGTCAATAGATTCACTCTTCATATTTAGTTAACTTCTCTTTGCTATTTCTCTACTTAGGCTGTCAACGCAAATGTTTCACTGCAACGCATTGAGGAACTACTTTTAAGTGAAGAGAGAGTTCTAGCACAAAACCCACCTCTCCAACCCGGAGCTCCAGCCATTTCCATTAAGAATGGATATTTTTCATGGGATTCAAAGGTGAATCCTCAAAATATTCCCTCTTGTCTAGATCATGTTGAGATGCAATACTAGTTTATGCAATGCACTGTATACATGACATTGTGATCATGGTATTTGCTCGAATATTTCCCAGACATCCAAACCCACATTATCCGAGATCAATTTGGAGATACCGGTGGGCAGCTTGGTTGCCATTGTAGGTGGAACTGGAGAAGGTAAGACGTCACTTGTCTCCGCAATGCTGGGAGAGTTATCTCATGCTGAAACCTCAAGCGTTGTTATTAGAGGATCCGTAGCTTATGTTCCTCAAGTTTCATGGATCTTCAATGCCACTGTGAGTCCCTTTACTTCTTGCTGGCTCTGAAAACATTAACTATATCATAACTTTGGGTAGCTTTATTTTCATTTGGTCAATTAGTTAGGCAGGAAGCGTCCTAATACAAGTATCTATGTATTGCAGCTGCGTGAAAACATCTTATTTGGGTCAGATTTTGAGTCTGAAAGATACTGGAGGGTTATTGATGTGACTGCCTTACAACACGATCTTGATTTGCTTCCAGTTAAGTAGAATGACAGGCATACACAACCCGGTTACATGTGCTTTATATGACGTTTCTTACTAACTTCCCGAATTTGCTAATTCAGGGCCGTGATCTTACTGAGATTGGAGAACGTGGGGTGAATATTAGTGGAGGGCAGAAGCAGAGAGTTTCAATGGCTAGGGCAGTCTACTCAAATTCAGATATTTACATATTTGATGATCCTTTCAGTGCTTTAGATGCTCATGTTTCTCACCAGGTATTCTTATGGTTGATCCAACATAACTGATAATTTCTTAAGGCTGACATAAATCGTATCGATAACTAATGAGTGTTTAGGCATTTGCATAATTTAATAGTTACAGTATTTCATTCTTCAGTAATTCTTAGAGGCACATCTAACGACAGCCTTCTCTGAATCAAGTTAGGTCTTTGATAGCTGCATGAAGGATGAGCTGAAGGGGAAAACAAGGGTTCTTGTCACAAATCAGCTACATTTTCTTCCTTTGATGGATAGAATCATTTTAGTCTCCGAAGGAATGATTAAAGAGGAGGGAACCTTTGCAGAGCTGTCAAAAAGTGGGAGTTTGTTCCAGAAACTAATGGAGAATGCAGGTAAAATGGATTCAACCCAAGAGGTGAATAAAAATGAAGAGAAAAGCTTGATGCCGGATCCTACTGTCACGATTGATCTAGACAGTACCACGCAAGGGAAACGGGGAAGATCTATGCTTGTAAAGCAAGAAGAGCGGGAAACTGGCATCATTAGTTGGGATGTTGTGATGAGGTACTTATCTCAACATCTTTCTACAGCTTTGATAGTTTAAAACATATGGATTAATACAAAAAACGCAAAAGAGGAGGCATTTTCTTTATATCTTTTGAATGAAATCTGACTTCCAGTTGCTTAGATGAACATTGCTTTATGTTTTAATGCAAACAGATCGTTAAGGTACTTTCCAAATTTTCAGGTATAATAAAGCAGTAGGCGGCTTATGGGTAGTTATGATTCTCTTAGCATGCTATTTAACAACTGAAGTTCTCCGAGTTTTAAGTAGCACATGGTTAAGTATTTGGACTGATCAAAGCACGCCAAAGAGTTATAGTCCTGGTTTCTACATTGTCACATATGCTCTTCTCGGATTTGGTCAGGTTTGTTTCAGTAAAAGTTTTAGATCTGTGTTTCTGATATATTACACGAACTTGACGATTTTTATGATCATTGTTTCAGGTGGCTGTCACGTTTACCAACTCTTTTTGGTTGATCTCGTTAAGTTTACATGCCGCTAAAAGACTCCATGATGCAATGCTGAATTCTATCCTACGTGCTCCTATGCTCTTCTTCGAAACAAACCCAACTGGACGTGTAATAAACAGATTTTCTAAGGATATTGGTGATATAGATAGAAACGTGGCCAACCTAATGAATATGTTCATGAACCAGCTATGGCAACTCCTCTCGACATTTGCACTTATAGGTATTGTCAGTACAATTTCATTGTGGGCAATAATGCCACTCCTGATACTGTTTTATGCAACATATATCTACTATCAGGTAATTTTCTACTTCATGTCATTGTGCGCTTCTCTTTGATTGTTCTATGCATCAAATATATGCAGAATTGTTATTAAAATTTATATGATCCACTTGGAATGAATATCCTTTTAATTTGTAGAGCACATCCCGCGAAGTTAGGCGTTTGGATTCGGTTACAAGATCACCTATCTATGCTCAATTTGGAGAAGCTTTGAATGGTTTGTCAAGCATCCGAGCCTATAAAGCCTATGACCGGATGGCAAAGATTAATGGAAAATCCATGGACAACAACATAAGGTTCACTCTCGCTAATACTAGCTCAAATCGTTGGCTCACTATAAGATCTGAGAGTCTTGGGGGTGTCATGATTTGGTTAACTGCAACCTTTGCGGTTCTGCGATATGGGAATGCAGAGAACCAAGCTGTTTTTGCATCTACAATGGGTCTCCTTCTTAGTTACACTCTGAATATCACTAGTCTGTTAAGTGGTGTTCTAAGGCAAGCTAGCAAAGCAGAGAACAGCTTAAATTCTGTTGAGCGTGTTGGCAACTACATTGATCTTCCTTCTGAGGCTACAGATATAGTCGAGAACAATCGTCCAGTATCTGGCTGGCCTTCAAGAGGATCAATTCAATTTGAAGACGTTCACCTGCGTTATAGACCCGGGCTTCCTCCAGTATTGCATGGATTGTCCTTTTTTGTTTATCCGAGTGAGAAAATAGGAGTGGTGGGAAGAACTGGGGCAGGAAAGTCTTCCATGCTGAATGCATTATACCGGATTGTGGAATTGGAAAAGGGAAGAATCATGATTGATGATTATGATGTGGCTAAGTTTGGACTGACAGATTTGCGCAGTGCCCTAAGTATCATACCCCAGTCACCTGTTCTTTTTTCAGGTTTGTGTGTAATTTAAGACGATTTTGTAAGTATGATCCTGAATTCTGAGAAACAGTTCTTTTTGTTAGGGACGGTGAGATTCAATATCGATCCATTTAGTGAACACAATGATGCTGACCTATGGGAGGCTCTACAAAGGGCGCATATTAAAGATGTCATCGACAGGAATCCTTTTGGCTTAGATGCGGAGGTATAGTTTATCTTTAGTGACATGTTTTAGTTAGAAGAATTCTGTGATTTATTTATGGAGATTGCTGATCAAACTGTTACTTCAATCTGTAAGGTCTCTGAGGGAGGTGAGAACTTCAGTGTGGGGCAAAGGCAACTGCTGAGTCTAGCGCGTGCATTGCTAAGAAGATCTAAGATCCTTGTTCTCGATGAAGCAACTGCATCTGTTGATGTCAGAACAGATTCTCTGATACAGAGGACCATCCGTGAGGAATTCAAGTCTTGTACAATGCTTGTTATCGCTCACAGATTGAGTACCATCATCGACTGCGACAAGATCCTTGTGCTTAGTTCTGGTCAGGTAAAGCCAGGATTATTGTTCATAGAACTCGCTTAAGAGGATTCTGGTTCATAGTAGTAACGTCTTGTGTGACTTACATAAAACTATGTCAATTTTGTTAGGTTTTGGAGTATAATAGTCCACAAGAATTGCTATCAAGAGATACAAGCGCCTTCTTTAAGATGGTTCATAGCACTGGACCAGAAAATGCCCAGTACCTTACCAACTTGGTCTTTGAAAGGAGAGGGAATGGAATGAGTGTGGGTGGATAAAAATAGACACCAGCCTTCGAAGAATGAGTTTATAAGTTTGCTTGATGAAGGAATTTGCATTATTACCAATTTACCATTCACCATTTAACAGAGTCCCAAAGTAACAAGGTGATAGTCTTATGATGAACATTGCTGAAAAATCTGCAGTCATGGCCAATAGCACTCTTGTGTACATATGACATTCTTGGCAGTTGGAATAGCTAAAAGTATATTTGATTCTTTCAAATTTTCTTTTCTTTTATCAAAAAAAAATATGTTCTTTGGTTCTTTAATGATCCCTTTTTTTCTACAAGAGCTTCTAATAAAGTATCACTTAATCTGTTCATATGTACAAAGACTTCATTGAACTATCTGCAAAATAAAAAAGCTGTGTTTTCTTAAGTCATGATATAATCCTAGTAAAAAGTGATAAATATATTGGTAAGGAAATACAAACAACAATCCGTTGTAGTCTAGCTGGTCAGGATACTCGGCTCTCACCCGAGAGACCCGGGTTCGAGTCCCGGCAACGGAGTTCATTTTTTTTCTCTTCGTCCTGAATTATTTTCCACGTGGCAGGATTAAGTTGTTACTCCATTATTTTACCTTTTATTTTGGATCCTCGCTAGCTAAGAATTAAAAGCTTGACGTAAAAAGCGTGACGCTTGCGAAAGCCGAGGCGTGTGGTGAGTTTGTTTCCCATGTGGCCTTAAGGCCCTCTCACGCCTTTGTCTAAAAGGCAAGCAAATTATGCGACATCTATACATCATTTTGTTCGGACTTGTTGTTAATTATTTCTCTTTTTACCTTTTTACTTTTGTTTGTAAAAGTGGAATGTGAGGTAAACTTATCATGTAATTTACTTTTACATACACAATAGAGTGAACATGTAATAATACCTTTGCATTTAGACATTTAAACACCCTCAAAATGAGATCTCGATTTCAATCCTCCGTTTAAGATAAGTTAAACTTCTTAAAAAATGACTTGTTTTTAGTACATGTAATTAAAGATATTTATACAAAGTAGTGGTATACCGTACGTTTATCTTTTTTTTTTTTTTACAAAGAATTTGGAACAAAAAAAATTGGGGTTGACTTGCGGGTGTGGGGGTGAGTGTAGAGCGACAAAGGCAGAACATAAACGCATGTCAAAGCAAAGGAGCTTTTTTGTGTGTGGACAAGGAGCATAAAAAATGTAAAAATAAGAGCATTTAAAATTCAAGATTTCAAGAATCCTAAGCAATAAGGATAAGACACGTACTCACACTTCGCCGTTTAGGTCCGAATCATTGTTCACCATGCATGCGTTTTTTTGTTTATTTTTCCTTTAAATATTTTTGTACATAGACATGTACACTCATTATTATCCATGTAATATAAGTGCATAGTTGAAATAATCCTTTTAAGTATAGTTTATTGAAGTCTTTGGTTCAGTTTTTTTTGTGGGAAGTTAAGAAGTACAAAAAAGTTAACCAAAGAGAAGTCAAAGTTCACGTGGCCTAGCTAGCTGGTTATAGCTACTACGTCAGCCGTTGAACTAAAAAACAACTTCGTCGGACAACGAAGCTTCAACCACATGCTTAGATAAGTATAGTACGGCCAAAATCACATTCCATCACTAATAATAATAATTGAGGAATATTTTGCTATAAAATGTCTTTCGTGACTTCGCCTAGTTCGTTAATTCGCATTATTGTTTTGGAAATTCAGATATATATATCTTTCTCTCTGTATACATATAATATATTTTTTTGTTCTTTCTGTAAACTATATAGTATGTATGTAGAGCCTCATGACTAAATAGTGGTTAAAAAGTGGCAGAATGAAAATCCATAGATAATACAGTATATAATTTGATTCCTAATTTTGATTAGCGAGAGGACTCCTCAACTACATAATGTTATCACTTTATAGATCACTTAGACATGAATGCGCAAAACTATTTAAAGCCACCCATGATTTTACACCTACTAGACGCACTCCTTCGTGACTATGACAAGTCGGCGAGGTTATTCATGGAATATTGAAGTGACCATGTTCTGAATGTTGTGTGTAATTAACAAACGTAAATGATTTAGTTTTGATTTGAATTGATCACTATGTGTTTATGATTTACTAATTATAGGTTTTGGCAACAGAACATATATCCATATGAAACTCGATAATTGCTTCGAATTTTTAATTTTAATTTGTGTTGAATAATAGAAAACAAAGTTGTACAACTCTAACCCTCTTTAAACAACTCCAACAAATATGTAACATATTTTTGTTTTTTCTCCTGATTCTGTAGTAGAGGCGAATATAACCTAAAGATATATGTCATTTTTAGTTAAAATAAAACCAAATTCAAGTATAAATAAATAGAATAAATGTGAGTAAGTCTCAACATTACAATTTGATTTGGTAGAACACAGAAACCAAAATCTAAGTATAAATAAAAAGATATTTTCTTATAATGTTTTATTTAATTGTCAAAATTTTGAGACAGGGAGTGAAACTGTTTCACTCAAACACTTAAAAGTATATAACCGCATTCGCACGCCAAAAATTGTAGTGGGAAAGATTGGATTCTTTGAGTAAAGATTAGGACAAAATTAAACCCCACATTTAAGAAATTGAATTGAAAAACAAAAGTTTGATAATATCAAGAATCAACACAATGAGTATGTTTGAAGATACAAATGACCCCACATGCGTGCATGTGTTCATCTAAAAAAAACTTAAAACCCATCTCATTAATCTCTTAATCTCGAGATTTTCAAATCTCCATCATCTCTTTCCTTTTCTATTTCACTATCGATTTAAAGAATTTCTAAATATTCTAAAGCAACCAATACAGAAATTATCCAATTAACTCACTTTCTATTTTCTTCCATATATTTATTCTTACAAGACCACAAATTTGCCTTTTATTTTAATTATAATTATAATATAACATAATGGTTTGGGGTATATGGTCCCCTTCTTACATGTATATTCTCGTATAAAGGAGCTGGTAACTTCTGCTTAGCTGTGTTCTTTGTCTAGCTGGGTTTTTGGGGTTGGGCTCTTTTCTTTTTATCATTATTTTTTGTTGAGAAATAGTTTGAATTTGGTGTTGCTGATAAGATTATTTGAGATTCTGGGTTTTTAGTGGTTTTGGTCAAGGGATCTGTTGTTGGGTTTAGGTTGATTTCTGGAGTTAGTTCTGTTACTGGAGAAAGGAAGCAGCTTTTTAAGTGTTTGAGTGAAATTGGTCTGTTTCAATTATTATCTCGATCTGGGTTTTAAGGGGATGAATCCAAAGTTTCTTTCTTTCTGAGAAACTCTGTACATTAGGGTTTTGATTTTAGTTGGAGGGACTTTTTTTAGGGTTTTGGAGGCTCAAACTAATTGCCTAGTTTCTTTGTTGAATTTTGGTGAGAGAAAGCATGGCTTGCATGAAGCTGGGATCCAAATCTGATGCTTTCCAGAGACAAGGCCAGGCTTGGTATATTCACTTGATCTCTCTCTAATTGTATTTTTGTTCCAAGTTTGTGCTTCTATTTGAGTAGACTTGGTCTGGATTTGAGACCATGGTCTTTCTTTAAGGTAATATCAGCATTACTGAGTTAAACAAAGCTCATTCCTTTGTCTGACTTTGTCTTCTTGGGTTTTGCTAATTGCAGGTTTTGCACAACTGGACTTCCAAGTGATATTGTCGTTGAAGTTGGGGAGATGTCTTTTCATCTCCACAAGGTACACTTTGTTTAACTTGAGCAAGACAACACTCTCTTCTTGAAACTCTGTCTTATATTATTAGTCTAATAGCATGTTATGTCCTTATCCGGCATTGTAAAAATCTGTCCTGCTAATGTATCAAAGTTGTGTTTGGTTTGTATTTTCCTTCTCCGACATTGTGTTTTATTAGTCTAGTGGATAAAAAACTCGATACTACTGTTCTTGAGACTTTGTATTTTTAGCTCTTATTGTAATGACTAATCACCAATGCAAATGGTTATTTTTCTCTGCGGTGTCTTTCTTTGGTTCCTACAAAACTCAATCCAGTATCTGTAGTTTTGGCAATGCCTTGTTTCTAATAATGAGAAGTCTTGACTCTTATTGTAGAAATCAGTCTTTACTTAAGCTTTTACTTTGAGAAAAAATGTTGTTACTTGCAAATCCTCATACTTTTTTTTTGTTTTTAATGGCTATCTGCAGTTTCCCTTGCTCTCTAGAAGTGGAGTCTTGGAAAGAAGGATTGCGGAGGCATCAAAAGAAGGGGATGATAAATGTCTCATTCAGATTTCTGATCTTCCTGGCGGAGACAAAACGTTTGAACTAGTCGCCAAGTTCTGCTATGGTGTGAAGCTTGAACTCACTGCTTCTAACGTTGTATATATCAGATGCGCTGCTGAGCATCTCGAAATGACTGAAGAGTATGGGGAAGGAAATCTTATATCTCAAACTGAAACATTTTTCAATCAAGTGGTCCTCAAAAGCTGGAAAGACTCAATAAAAGCGCTTCAAAGCTGCGATGAGGTCCTCGAGTATGCTGATGAATTGAACATTACCAAGAAATGCATTGAGTCACTAGCCATGAGAGCATCGACAGACCCAAACTTGTTTGGATGGCCAGTTGTGGAGCATGGTGGGCCCATGCAAAGTCCAGGTGGCAGTGTTTTATGGAATGGGATAAGCACCGGGGCTAGACCTAAACATACTAGTTCAGATTGGTGGTACGAGGATGCGTCGATGCTTAGTTTTCCTCTTTTTAAGAGACTCATCACGGTCATGGACTCCCGAGGCATAAGAGAAGACATCATTGCTGGTTCCCTAACCTATTACACAAGAAAACACTTGCCTGGCTTAAAAAGACGACGTGGTGGACCTGAATCTAGTGGTCGTTTCAGCACACCTTTGGGCTCGGGGAATGTACTGTCCGAGGAAGAGCAGAAGAACTTGATTGGAGAGATCCAGGAGCTTCTCCGTATGCAAAAAGGTTTAGTTCCAACCAAGTTTTTCGTCGACATGCTTCGAATCGCCAAGATTTTGAAAGCAAGTCCGGATTGCATAGCAAATTTAGAGAAGAGGATAGGGATGCAGCTTGACCAGGCTGCGTTGGAAGATCTTGTAATGCCTAGCTTTTCTCATACTATGGAGACCCTGTACGATGTTGACTCTGTGCAAAGGATCTTGGACCATTTTCTTGGGACAGATCAGATTATGCCTGGTGGGGTTGGCTCTCCTTGTTCTTCAGTAGATGACGGGAATTTAATCGGATCCCCGCAGTCAATAACACCAATGACAGCGGTTGCAAAGCTGATCGATGGCTATCTTGCTGAAGTTGCTCCTGATGTCAATCTTAAGCTTCCAAAGTTCCAAGCTTTAGCTGCTTCTGTTCCTGAATATGCTAGACTCTTAGATGACGGACTCTATCGCGCAATAGACATTTACCTAAAGGTAAGACTAAAAAAACCCATCAATTTTCTGAAATATCGAGTTTCTTTCTATGAGACATTAAGTTTTGTCTTCTTTTTATGATTTGCAGCATCATCCATGGTTAGCGGAAACAGAAAGAGAGAATCTTTGCAGGTTGTTAGATTGCCAGAAACTCTCTTTAGAAGCTTGCACACACGCGGCCCAGAACGAGAGACTACCGCTAAGAATAATTGTGCAAGTGCTCTTCTTTGAGCAACTACAGCTCAGAACCTCTGTAGCTGGATGCTTCCTGGTTTCAGACAACCTCGATGGCGGATCAAGACAGTTAAGAAGCGGAGGATTTGTAGGAGGATCAACCGAAGGAGGAGGAGGAGGAGGATGGGCAACCGCAGTAAGAGAGAATCAAGTACTGAAAGTTGGAATGGACAGTATGAGAATGCGAGTTTGTGAGTTAGAGAAAGAATGTTCCAACATGAGACAAGAGATTGAGAAACTCGGTAAGACGACAAAAGGTGGTGGTTCTGCAAGCAATGGAGGCGGTAGCAAAACATGGGAAAACGTTTCTAAGAAACTCGGGTTCGGTTTTAAGCTGAAGTCACATCAAATGTGCAGTGCTCAAGAAGGATCTGTGTCTAAGTCTAACAACGAGAATGTGAAGATAGAGAAGCTAAAGGATGTTAAAGAACGTCGTGGGAAGCATAAGAAAGCTTCGAGCATTAGTTCTGAGAGGTGAAAATGGTAAATTTCCACGGTTCAAATGTCCAGTTACTGTGTTTTGGACATTGTTTAGCTAAAAAAAATGAGAGCTTCCATTGTTAAATGTGTGCATTGTAGGCTTGTAATCATGTTTTCTTTTTTCAATTGATTATGTAACTTTGACGACCAACTATATTTTGTCATTTTTATATTTTTATTTGAACCTCTAAGAAAATTCGAAAGTGTCACATATTGCTGATAACGAATATATTAATTAACTTTGTAAATATCAATTTTCATGATCACAAGGATTATTATTATAAGGTTTTTGGCTGGTATAACCCTTGTGACCATGAAGATTGATTTTTATTTCACCAATCATAAATAAAGGGAAGCAAAAAAAAACTTTTCAATTTTTTTAGAAAAGTATTCCTCTAGAATTCATTTTTCTAATTGTCTTTTTTTTGAACAAACTTATTTTTCTAATTGTCTAAAAAACGTGTTTTTCTCATTCATGACTTTTTTTTTTCTTGCATCTTTTGGGGGAGTTTCAGACTTATATTCATTATAAGTTATCAAGCCTTTAATTTAATGAGAATGCAGTTTTTTCTCTAATTTTACCTTAATAAATATATTATTTTGAATGTGGAAAATATGTAATTAGTTGCTTAAATATGTAATTAGAGTTTTAAAAAAGTGGTTAATAAAAAAATAAAAATCTCGAAGACTTGAACTGACCAAAGACTCTCATGCTAAGTAATTGAAGGACATTTCAGCCGCCAGCTTGACCCAATTAAAAAGCCCATTTTAACATTTTAATTTTTCTTCCCTTTGTTTTTTAATTTTCCTCTTATTTTAATTTTTCCTCAGTTTATAATATTTTTTCCTCTGAAATCTGAAAATCATCTCTTTATTTTTCTTCTGAATTTTATTTTTGTTTTTTCCGTTAATTCGTCGAGTCTGTCGATCTCCGTTCTCATCAGATTTCAAAACTCTCCGATCTGTGATTCCGACGATATATCAGTCTCATTGTTGAAAGAGATCTGTTCAGATACGGCGTGAGAAATGGATAGCGGCGACATTGAAGAAGCCGGCGGTAATGGCGAAGAGGAATTCCGGTCAGGGCCACGTCTCGGCGGAAGCAAATACAGGCCGGTGGTTGCGCACGATAGAGCGGTTGTTGAGATGTCCTCCATCGATCCTGGATCTTCCTCTTCCACCCTCAAGTAATTTCTTCTTTTTGTAAAAATTCGCCACTGATTTTGGGAACTTCATTTTCGTGTGATGTTAGCATAATCTTGTCTGTGTACTCATTACGCTTCTAAATTGTTTTGAGGATGTTGACATTTTCGTTGATGATGATTGTGTGTGTACTGATCAGTAGAAATGGGATGCAATTTGGTTCGTTTCTATGATTTTAGGCTGCTAGGTTGTTTACATTTTTCATTTCGTAGTTCCCTTGTGAACGGATAGTTCTGCTGTACGATTATCCAAAAATTTGATGCTGAAAGTGACGTTAGCTTAATAAGATTTGCATTACAATTTTGTATCATTTAAATTTGCTTCAATCACCAGTTGTGGCTGAAGTTGGTCACATTGGTAGATGGATTGCATAAGTCAACAAGATCATTTTTTTTTGGTTGCTTTCTTACTGCTCGTAAGAGAATCAACTTCTAGTTTAAAGAATCATGGACGCAGGAATATTCTACACTTTACCTTGGCAAAAATTGAAATGTTTCAGTCTTTTGTACCCTTTTTCATCATGAGTGTCTCACATTTGTAGGTTTTTGACAGGAACATAAAAGTAGTTGCACCAGGAGACATGGGCGCTGGTGTAAGGGGACCAGAAGATGGAGTCAATGGCCATCAGAAGGAATCCAAGCTGGAATTATTTGGTTTCGACTCTCTTGTGAATATTCTTGGCTTGAAGAGGTACATGCGATCTTATTTGTTTTTTACATTAGAAAGATGAGCTTACTGTAAATGATCTCTTGCTTTTGTTAATCACCCTGTTTTATTTTCCCTCTGAATTGAGTCAAATGGATAAGATACTCAATAGAAGTTTCCTTGTGTATTATTTCCCTGGCTATGTATACTCAATACGCGTCTCTTTTCATATATAAAATAGGAAGGAACTTTCTTTTGTCCTTCTAACGTGGAAATGTCATCTTTTACCTAAACTAAGCTTTACACTTAATCAATTCAGCAGTTCAGCTTTGCCATGAAAGTTCATGTTTTCCCATGTTCAACGAATTTCTCTTTCAGTATGACAGGGGAGCAAATTCCGGCACCATCTAGCCCTAGAGATGGGGAGGATATCTCCATCACGCAAGGGCACCCAAAGGTACCTTTATATTCCCATTAGTTTCCTGCCAGGCTGTTCTGATCTAGCGCTTCTCTCTGTTTTCTCTAATGAAAAAGACTTTCAAGTCATCTCAGGCTTAGTCAAGAGAGGTATAGGAGAGATTTTAGGGAACATTCGAAAACAACTTAAAAGTTAATACCTTTCTACCCTGGCGATGCAGGGGCACGTCAGGTCTTCAAGTGTCATGCACTAGAATTTCCCCTTTTCTTCCTCCAGTTTTCGCTCCTTATTTGTTTGGAAACGTTTATAAATAATTCTAAATTTTAAGATGCGCAAACATTTTCTGTATGGAAGTATGATCTGTTGCATTGCAAAGACTGCCTTCCTCTATCTGATGGTTTGCTACTTTCTGTTTGGCAATCATTGTTTCAGGATGATTAGATGGTTTCACTTTCTCTCAAAAGTTCCTTCATTGTTCTGTTGTTGACTGTCTATTATGGTGCATGTAAAAGTAACGTTTTCTTAGGTATTCTAGTCTGTCAGAGTTTTTTTCCTAGTTTCCTGTAAGGATCTTTTTGACATGCGCATCATCTATTACTGAATTTATGGTTTTCTACAATGTTACTTTATCTGTATCTTTTTGCAGCCTCCTGCTCTCAAGATGGGTACAATGATGGGAGTTTTCGTTCCCTGCTTGCAAAACATATTAGGAATTATATATTATATCCGTTTCACATGGTAAGACTGCAACGTCTTTGATGTTTGACAAAAGACTGCAAAATCATCATGGCCTGCCTTAATCTGTTCAATATTCAGGATTGTTGGTATGGCTGGTATCGGACAAGGCCTAGTATTGGTATTGCTTTGTGGCTTATGTACATTCTTGACGACAATATCTTTGAGTGCTATTGCAACAAATGGTGCAATGAAGGTAATTCTTTTTCTGTTATATCACTTAAATTTTCTTTGAATAAAACTGTGGAACCGTAATTAAAGATATTCCTCCCTCTCTTGGGTCTCTCGTCCATAGTTGGCACCCCTTATTACTTTTCGATTTCTTTTGTGATTGAACAGTAGTTAGGACATCAAGTTTATTAATAACTTTTGCGTTATCTCAGGGTGGAGGACCATATTACCTCATTGGTCGCGCTCTTGGTCCGGAAGTTGGGATTAGCATAGGTTTATGCTTTTTTCTTGGCAATGCAGTTGCTGGAGCTCTGTAAGTGTAAATCCCGGATCCTTTCAAGGAATCTACCTTGGAAATAGTCTTAAGCTTGACACACATATTGCTTTATGTTGCTGGTGCTCTGTTCAGTTTCACATGGTCGCCAAGTGCTTCTATTTACTACTTTTTCTGCTTTCCTCCTTATCGTTGTAGGTATGTTTTGGGTGCTGTGGAGACTTTTCTAAAAGCATTCCCTGCTGCTGGGATTTTTAGAGGTATTAGTTACTGTGGAACTTGTAAGAATTGAAACCCCATTGAACTAAAGCAAAGGGCTACTAGGACTTCTGAAAACTCTAAGTACTGTGACTGTTTTTTATTTACTCTATTCTTATCTAAGCCACCACTTTATCGTGCTAGTGTTGACACCTGAGATTTGTTTCATTAGTTTGTTGGAAGTGGCAAAACGTTTGTGCAATCTGAGATTTTATCATGCTAGTTTTGACACCTGAGAATTTTTTCATCAGTTTGTAGGATAAAAACCAAACAAAAGACTATATTATTGATTACCAACTTCTTAGTTTTATTTGACAAAAAGTTCACTTGTTTTCCCTGAGGACATAACCTATAGCCCACAAGTCGCATTAAGTCATTTAGCTTTGTTTCATTTTAATTGCAGAAACTATCACAAAGGTTAATGGAACAGCAGTTTCCGAATCAATACAAAGCCCGAACTCACATGACTTGCAGGTTTATGGAATTGTTGTGACAATCCTTCTTTGCTTCATTGTGTTTGGTGGCGTGAAGATGATCAATCGGGTTGCACCTGCTTTCCTCGTACCCGTTTTGCTCTCTATCTTCTGCATATTCATCGGGATATTTTTGGCAAAGACAGATGATCCTGACAGTAAGTTGTTTCTTTATATTGTTGGAAACAGGCGTGGCGTTTATTTTTCGTTGAGTCGTTAACCTTCCTTTTGTTCCCTTTGTTATGATTTGAACAGATGGAATTACGGGCTTGCGCTTAAAAAGTTTTAAAGATAACTGGGGCTCTGCTTATCAAATGACAAATGATGCGGGAATTCCTGATCCAACTGGAGGGACGTACTGGAGTTTCAAGTGAGTAACTTCCGGAAATCTATTTATGTTAATGATAGAAAAACTCTAGTTATGATTTTAAGTTAATGAAATAATTTTATCTGTTCAGTTTTTACTCTGAAATCTATTTACCGTTCTCTTTGGTTGGTTTCAGTGAGCTGGTGGGTCTATTTTTCCCTGCTGTAACAGGAATTATGGCTGGTTCAAATCGATCAGCTTCACTTAAAGACACTCAAAAATCAATTCCTGTTGGTACATTGGCTGCCACTCTGACCACAACCTCACTATATTTGATTTCTGTGTTGTTTTTTGGAGCTGTTGCGACCCGTGACAAACTTTTAACTGATAGGTAACAACTCCTTCTGTGGTTAATTTTTTGTTTCGTAGCTGATCTGTTGTGTTTTCTTAGGCAGAAGTGTCCTGGAGAAAATGCAAAAACCCACTTATCACTTTCGCTTTCATGCCTTTAGCATGTTAAACTTGAAAGAAACTAAAAATGGCTTCATGTTCTGAATATACTACATAAAACTACTAGGGGTCTACAAAAGCTGTACTTTTCTTAGTTTATATGTCAGAATAGATTTATCATGTCTGGCCGCAGAGACCTGTTCTTTTAAGCATTTCAACACCTAGCTTACACCATGAACTTTCTTTAAACTAATGCAATGAATAATTTTCCTCTATTGCAGGCTACTTACTGCTACAATTGCTTGGCCTTTCCCTGCCATTGTTCACGTTGGAATCATACTTTCAACCTTAGGGGCTGCTCTCCAGAGTTTGACAGGGGCACCACGGTTACTTGCAGCTATAGCAAATGATGATATTCTCCCCATCCTGAATTATTTTAAAGTTGCAGATACTAGTGAACCTCACATAGCGACACTCTTCACAGCATTTATCTGCATCGGATGTGTTGTTATCGGAAATCTGGATCTTATCACACCGACTGTGACCATGTTTTATCTTTTGTGCTATTCGGGAGTAAACTTGTCTTGTTTCCTACTCGATCTTCTTGATGCTCCAAGTTGGCGTCCACGGTGGAAATATCATCATTGGAGCCTTTCCTTTGTTGGAGCCGCACTTTGCATAGGTATGAATTTTCAAATACTCACGGAGAAAGTGCCTTTCGCAATCTTTCTATGTAGTCCATTCCTATAAAGATTCTGATTGAGTCTACCACGTGGCTTCTTATCTCACCTGAATCCTGAGATGTCTTATTACAAAGCCTTGTTGAGTTTTTCATTTTTTTTCTATTGTTGCAGTGATCATGTTCTTGATTTCTTGGTCATTCACTGTGGTTGCCATTGCACTTGCAAGTCTTATATACAAATACGTTGGCCTAAAAGGAAAGGCTGGGGACTGGGGGGATGGTTTCAAGAGTGCATATTTTCAGTTGGCCCTTCGTAGTCTCAGGTCACTCGGAGGTACAAACCTGCCATATCTAATTTTGGTTCTTTTTTTTTTGTTGTAACATTATGCAGAACCTGCCATATCTAATTGGTTCATTATTGAATTTGAATGGTCCATGTATTTAAAGCTAATCTCATGTACTGTCATTTCTTCCAATTGCAGCGAACCAAGTGCACCCAAAGAATTGGTACCCAATTCCCCTTGTTTTCTGCAGACCGTGGGGACAGCTTCCGGAAAATGTTCCGTGTCACCCTAAGCTGGCTGATTTTGCTAACTGTATGAAGAAAAAAGGTCGTGGAATGTCGATCTTTGTCTCAATATTAGATGGTGACTACTATGAATGTGCTGAAGAAGCAAAGGAAGCTTGCAAACAATTGGCCACCTACATTGAGTACAAGCGTTGTGAAGGTGTAGCTGAAATCGTTGTAGCCCCAAACATGACCGAAGGGTTCCGTGGGATCATCCAGACGATGGGACTCGGAAACCTCAAACCCAACATCGTGGTAATGCGGTACCCTGAGATCTGGCGCCGAGAAAATCTAACAGAGATTCCATCCACATTTGTTGGGATAATCAATGACTGCATAACAGCAAACAAAGCAGTTGTCATCATCAAAGGGTTAGACGAGTGGCCAAACGAGTACCAAAGACAGTACGGAACAATTGACTTGTACTGGATTGTGAGAGATGGTGGTCTCATGCTTCTTCTCTCACAGCTTCTTCTGACAAAAGAAAGCTTTGAAAGCTGCAAAATCCAACTCTTCTGCATAGCTGAAGAGGATTCAGACGCGGAAGCACTCAAAGCCGACGTGAAGAAGTTCCTCTACGATCTCAGAATGCAAGCAGAAGTAATCGTGGTCACGATGAAATCATGGGACATAAGATCCGAAGGAAACAGCCAAGAAGATTCATTGGAAGCTTTTGATGCAGCACAGAGACGAATCTCAGATTACTTGGGAGAGATCAAGAGACAGGGTTCGAATCCGTTATTGGCAAATGGGAAACCGATGGTGGTGAATGAGCAACAAGTGGAGAAGTTTCTATACACAATGCTGAAACTGAACTCGACCATACTCAGTTACTCGAGGATGGCTGCGGTGGTTCTGGTTAGTCTCCCGCCACCTCCGTTGAACCACCCCGCATATTTCTACATGGAATATATGGATTTGCTGGTGGAGAATGTGCCAAGGATGTTGATCGTAAGAGGGTATCACAGAGACGTTGTTACTTTGTTTACATAGTTCAATCTCATTTTATACCCACCAAGAACATCAAAAAGCCTGCCTTTCAAGGTCAGTTTTTTTTATTACAGTTTCTAATATTTTTCTTGTAGTACAGTGAATTCCATTTTGTTGAAAAAGAATTGAATTGAATATTCCTGCGAGCTATATAGTTTTTTTTTTTTCAATTTTTTTTTTGCAGATAGAATATTTCTGAGGTTGTATTCTGAGACAATTCAATACATTTTTCTCTCATGGAAATTGGATATCTCCTGACTTTTGGAATAGTTTGAGATAATTAACTTCATATAAACCTATGGTCACCCCATAATTTTTCATATCTATTGTCACTGCCGCTCCCTTATTTTTTCATGTTTTTATAAAAATCTTCAAAATCACATGGATTGTTCACCGGAGGTGAAACGAAAGGAGGATTTGTTAACAACATGTCAACATTAGATTAAGGAAAGGAAACTATAATTGCAGTTTAGACTCTATTTGGTCGTTTTCGTTTCAAAGTCTCTTAAACCGTAAACTATACTATAAATACGCGTGAGAGTTGTATCAACTGTTATGTGAAAAGACAAACGATTATAAAGAACAAAAATGTGCTGCTAATGTTGAATCCAATAGACAAGCAAATCAAACTTTGGAAAAGAGTGTAGCTTGTTGTAAGACTGTAAGAGTGTAACTTTGGAAAATGTGCTGCTAATGTTCATGCCTTGATTGCCTTGGAACTTCGTCTTCACTTTCACTCTCTTCGTTCTCAAATTGTTTCCAACCTCGAACTGATTCATGTCATGTAATGTATCCGAACCTACTCATCTCTTCCTTGGCGGTTTATGTTTTCATTTGGGCTTGATTTATGGTCTAATGTTGCTATTTATGTTTTCACTTTTCTTTAATAAAACGAGATGACAAATAAATTTTACAAAGACCGAAGAAGATCAAGACATGTTGTCTCTGTGTAAAGTTGATGTGACTTGTTATGTACACAGTTAAAGACTACATTATTTGGTTTTGTGCTCTTTCCAAAGTTTAATGCCATAAACCTTATAAGTAATACATTACTAAAGAAGTAAAGAGGCGTGAGAGCTGTATTAACAACTGTTGTCTCTGATAATACAAGATATTTAAAAATACCAACAATCTGCCACTAATGTAATAATATGTTTGAACCAAAAATAGGGGGGGAAGAGAAGCAAACTTTGAGTAAAAATTCGTAGCTTGCGCAAGTCTCTCTCTCACCGACGCTTCTTTCCTTCTCCATGTCTTGATCGTCTTGGAGCTTCGTCTTCGTCTTCACTTTCACTCTCTTCGTTTCTCAGACTGTTTCCAACCTCGAACTGCTCCATGTCATGTGATGTATCCTGATTTTGTTGATCCGCCCCCACTCCTCTCTCATCGCTTCCCTCAGGTGTTTTCCGGTTGGTGGGGCCAGGACGTGCTGATGATGTTGCTGGTGGATAATACATTGGCCTGCCTCCTCGAGGACCGTTTCCCATTCCTCCCATATGCGGGCCACGTCCACCTCCCATCATACCATAACCGCCATGTGGAAACTGTTGCGGAGGTCTACCCGGAAACATCATCCCGGGTACTGGTCCTCTGAAATCACCACCGAACCTAGGTCCATATGGTCCAAAGGGTCTTGGACCCATGCCAAATGGATCTGGCATACCGTTATATCCACCAGGCCCATAGGGAAATGCATCGCCGGGGCCCATTACCCCAAGAGGGAAACCTCCCATTCCAGGCATTGGTCTGATTCCGCGTCCTAGAGGCATTTGAGGCGGCCACATCATTCCTCTTCCCCTTCCTCTGCCTTGAGGACCGCCCGCCATGCTCTCTTCTTCCTCCTCACTTTCATCTTCTTCCTCTTCCTCTTCTTCGTTGTCTTCAAACGGCACAATGTCTGGGTTCTCAGCTCTGCTCTCTGGATTCACACCCTTCGCTTTTTCTTCTTCTCGTTTCGCTTCTGCAGCTATGGAGATTGCCTTGGATTCATGGAAAAACGAATATTAACAATCCATGATGAAGAAACAGAATGAAAATCCATGATGAAGTAATAGAATGAAAATCCTAGAAGAAACCAAAGTCACCAATAAAAGAGCATATGGAGCTCAGTTCTTCACTGTTGATAAATTATACGCTTAAGAGCCATGAAAGAACAAAGTAAACAACAAAGAGAGAGAGTGGGAGAGAGTATATACCATAAGATCGCTATCTGGTTCAAGATAAAGCAAAGAAGCAAGCTGTTCACCGACGGAGGGCTCTAACTCCTGACAGTCTCTGCTTATCTACGGATATTGAACCAAAAGAGTAAAATGAAGGTGTCTAGGTTACATGCAAATACTAAAAAGGCATAAACATTACACAACGACCATTAGCTAATAGTAATCATTGTATCAGTGGTAACTTGTAATGAATGTCTAGCAAAATATTTGTGTAACCGTGCAAGTTAACATGGGACAATTTAGACCTTTGCGGAGTGTATTGATATAAACATCCTTATTTATCATGCACTGTATCTAACAAATGATACTATTCCCAGATAGGAGAACAACTAGAGCAGCATAAGAAAAACATGGTGAGAAGTTCCGCGTACCTTCACAGGTAAGTTTTCGTTGTAGGGATTCCTCAAATTCCGAGTTTTGTGGAAGGATAGTTCGCACAACTACAATGGTAAGAATTACAATCAATCATAGAAGTCATGTTACTGCATGATTTATGAAAGCATCCCCTTTACTCTCCGTAGCATGTGCCAGATAAGGACTAAATGTAATAGACTCAATCGCATAGAGAAGGACTAAATAAACCCAGAACTCAGAAAAATGACTATTAATTAGAAGGGAAAGCTTAGTCACACGGTATACCTTTAACCATTTAACTGAAAAGTTCCGGCCATACTGTGCAGTTCCGTGTTCATGTTTCCAGTTTCCTCCACCAATGTAACTACCAATTCTTGATGTCATCTTAGCACAGCCCTATAGCATCACGTGAAACAAAGTTATTTAGAATCATAACGCTGCCTAGCAAATACTCTATGGAGAAGAAAACTACAGAAAGGCAACCATCGTTGCACATGAACAGGGAATTTGATCTTTCAAAGTGTCATTATTATAGGCTTACAGTAACTAATGTTTAACCCAATAAACTACCTGGAAATGCCGGGTCCTGTTGACAGAAAATATCAAGATCACATTTTCCACAGAGTCGAAAGCTTCATTAAGTTTAGATTCATTGCTCCTTTGCGTAGCCCATACACCTTGTTGCACAGATAATTCAAAATTTTCTCGATTGCAACTCTTAACTACAAAATACCTGACAAAACAAGATCCTAAATTACGTAAGGGATTACCAATGAAGAGTAAGAATATACCATAAGGTATATATACAGTTAACGAATCCATACAATCAAACATATAACAATTAAATCAAAACTTAATATCGAGCAGTCAAGATGAGCATCTTCGAAAGCCGAAATCCTACACAACGTTTGAAGAATTCCATTCTTCTTCACATAATGATTTCAGATCAATTGTATGGGATTTCAAAAGATATAGCTATATGAATTACACAGTCTCTTACTAATATCTGAATAAGATTACGTTATAGCCAAAAAGCAACACTAGAGCACAAAATAGGCAATCAACTCTAGGGGACCAATCAGAAATGAAGTTGTAATCATCTGAAATAAAGAAAACATGACTCTTAGTGTCGCAGGAGTCCTGCTGAAAACCACTGGCAATTAGGCAATTGAGTAGAGCACTAAATAAATGAAAAAATGGTGCTATATGTATAGTAGCTTTACTGAAACAGTAGAGAATAATCGGTATGCTTCTGTTTGACATAAATCTTTAAAAACTATGATCATCTATAAAATAAAATATTAACAAAAACCAGTATATGTATACCACCATTTGTAAAGCCTATCTCCCACATTTTAGCTGAAGGAAGAAGGGTACCTGATGGAAAAAGGAGACTAATACTACTCAAAAGCAAAATAAGACAGCAAAGCCAGCCCAGAAGCAGGTCGATTTATTGTTTTTATAGCAGTTGAGGTCAAATATAATCTCAGAATTTTACCTAGCTATCAAAGAAAATTATCCTAAAATCAAGTAGATAATATACCATGAAGTTGAAAATATATCTGTATATATAAATAAAAGCTCTTATACATTCTAAATTAATTAAAGCTCTTATAAGAAACCAATGTTTTGATAATGGACCAATAACAACGTCTTGATAATGATAGGTATACATAAAAACATAATTTACATAACCCAATTAAAAACCTTAGGACTCTGAACACACCTATTTACCCCTTGAGGCAAAGGATGAGATGTTCTGTTTGTTTGGTCAGAAGGATTTGGTATCTGAGTCTGGCTGACCTGGTGTTGTGTTTGCTGAGGTTGTTGTTGTTGTTGCTGCTGAAAGTTACCTGATTCTTGTGGCTGGCCTTGCGTCGGAACTTGCCCCTGAGGTTTATCTTGTAGCTGTGGAGCAACATTACGTGGTTGATAGAACCTATTTGGCCCATAATTGTATGATGTCAATTGTTGTATCTTCTGAAGAACTTCCTCAACAGGAGGTGGAGGTCCAGGAAGCTTTGCATGCCTGTACCGACAATCAGGACCATTGGGACAAAATCCCAGCTTGTACCTACAAAATATAATCACAAGACATCATCTGTCAGCAAAAAGCTAACCAAAACTAAGAATCAACACAATCTCAGTCATCATCTAATGCAAAATAGAATTGCAAGAATCAAAACAATCATTGCATCTCTCTTAGAATCAAGTTCAATCTTATACTGAGAAAACCGAATTTATGAACATACATATTGCATTCTTTGATATCTTCATTGGTATGCTTATACACACAATCCTGCTCTCGACATTCACCGTATAACCGGAAAAATCGGCAGATTGGCATACGAGCTTTGTCATACTGGTGGAGAAACCCACAGGCGTCACCTTTCATACACAGACCTCGAAGCCAGTGTCTGCAAACAGTCTGCCGGAAACTTCGACCCCTCCCAGCTCCAGCCACCGTCGCGGAGGAGTGATCGTAGGTCGGTGCTACGTTAACAGCGGCGGAGGAAGAGTTATCAGGCGGAGCAACCGGGACTGAAGCGGTGTTCTGAACAGGTCCGGAATCGAGACCGCCTTCGAAATCGAAGCTGAGTCCATCAGCGTCCTCCATTGTTAACGATGATCTGAGAATTGAAATTTTTCTAGGGCTTGAGAAGAAACGAACAGAGAGATCAAATCGGAGGATTCGAGCTTCTGATGTTAGAAACAAGGTTTTACGACTTAGGCTCGGTTCATCGTATATATATCAGATTGAACCGGTAATTCGGGCGGTTTATTGAACCGGGATATATTATTTGTCTTTAGTAACCTTTATTTTATTTTTTTGATGGATATATTTCGCTTCTCAATATCAGGAATAGGATAACCTTGGAAGAAGCTGCGAAAGGGAATCTCCAAGCTTAAAGTGTCAATCAATTTGTTGGATTAGATTAGCAGAATGTAATATGCAAGACCACCTTCACCTAGGATTTAGAATTAGACCTATTGTTTGTTAAGACAATGATAGTTGAGATTTGGTTTTCCAGAAGCACAAAGAATCAATACCATTGCTTGCCAAAAAAAAACTTTCACAATCGCGCTTAATCTACATAGCAAACGACATCCACAAGCTTTTCAATTATCTCCATTATACACATTCAATGAAATCTTGCGCACACCGTAACACTGAACTAAATCTATGGTATGTTATTCCTTTACTTTTGGAATTTCTATACTTTCTAAGAATTTAGACAAGATAACAAAAACACTCCAAATATAAACAACACTAAAACTATACTACATGTCAGCAAAAGCAAATCATCAGTCCTAAGATAACAAATCAGAGTTTTTCAAGCTCTTCTATTAAGATCCTTCCAGAAATACAGAAAAGCACATCATATAGAGGCAATACTTTCAACGTGATCGGGTGAGATGTGGACGCAACAATCCCCAGCAAGTCCATATCTGCGCCTAAACTCTCTATCGTCTGCAATTCCTTTGATCGTAACTTTTCTGATGTCATTTCTTTCTACATTGTGGTAGAAAATGTAGAAGGGTTCAACATCTCGCGACAGACATTTTGGGGCAAAAATGATTTCACCAGCTTTGTTGATTCCTGGGGAAGTTAAATTCGTACCCAACCCCAAAGAGAAGGGAAGCTTAAATGTTTGCTTGGACCAATCATGTGTCTTCACATCCTCTAGTATCCATAAATCAAAACTATGGAAAGGTTTATAAGGATGCCTTGCAATGGCAGCTAACTTTCCTTTGTATTCTATCAATATCGATTCACCCTCCAAGCAAACAACAGCCATAGGCGCTTTGATAAAACTTAGCCTCTCAAATCTAACATCAAAACACCCAATCACCGGATCAATTCTATTTCTAGGGGACCAAGCACCAAAATACACGAAACCATTGATGCATAGTTTTCTAGTTGCAGTGTAGTAAACCGGGGTGGTAACCTTACTGCGTGTCCATGAAGGTTCTCCTCCTCCAAGTGTTAAAACCTCGTGCACTAGAACATTAGGTTCCTGGTAAGGATAAGGGGACACCTGGGTCAATGCTTTGAATTGATCATCAACAGGATCGTATCCGAAGGATGTGTGTGTTCCGCTACAGGGTAACATAGTGACTTTCCCTGTGCAAGGGTTACAGACAACGAACGGACCACTCCTAGTAGACCCGATTAAGCCATGGACAGAAGCACAGGTGGAGAAGGAAATCACGGTCACGGAAGGTATTGTCATATCGAGATTGGTTACCAAAGAAGAAGAAGATTCATCTCCCTCGTATGAAGACGAGAAGATGAACAAACGCTTGTCCTCCCTCTTGGCTGATTCACCATTACTGAAAGCGATTATAAACCTATGCGATCGCATAGTGGAGGACATAGCGTAGTAGGAACTGACGAATCTCTGGCTTCGGATGATGGAAGACCACATCTTTGACACGCATTGGAACTTCATTAGAGACTTTGCCGGCAATCTAATCAGTATCTCAATCTCTAGGTCAAGAGGAATCGGACCTACCTTACTTGATCTTGTGTCTTTCTCATTTTTACGATCTCGTTCCTTGGATTGAAGAGGGATCGAATCTAACTTACTTCGGCTGCTGCAGAACCTGTCATTCTCATCGTCTCTGTGTTTCATACACAGACATCGAAGCCAATTTCTGTAAACATTCTGCCGGAAACTTCGTCCCCTCTCAGCTCTAGCCACCGTCGCGGCGGAATGATCGTAGCTCGGTGCTACATTAACAGCGGCGGAGGAAGAGTTTTCAGGCAGAGCAACCGGGACTGAAGCTTTGGGATGGACAGGTCGGGAATCGAGACGGCCTTCGAAATCGAAGCTGAGTCCATCAGCATCCGCCATTGTAAACGATGATGCTCGTAAAGGTTTGAATTTTCCTAGGGATTCGAAGAATCGAACAGACAACAGAGAGATCAATCGGAGAATTGAGCATCTGATGTTAGACGAAACAAGGTTTTACGAATCAGCCTCGGTTCATCGGTTATATCAGATTGAACCGGTAATTTGGACGGTTTATTAAACCGATATTTTATTTGTTTGTCTAGTATTTGTGTTTAACCAAAGTCATCTCGTCTCGTATACACAAGTACAGTTGGAGAGATCAAATTTTGAATTTTCTTGTGTTTATGATCAAATTATTTTACAAGTTACAAGTCACATGACCAATAACTTATCACATAAATTTTCTTTTTGATATAAAATTGTTTTCTATTGTTCTCTAAAACATTCTCGAGTCATATGATTTCCACCTCCTCATACAATAATATGAACTGCGTAAGACCAATATAAATAAACCCTTTGCATACAAGTATTGATCAACTTACTTGAAAGTTAAAACCGTTTAATTTCCTTCATAGTCTTCACCTGTCCAACAAAAAAAAAATACTTTTTAAAATTTTTTATGTAAAAGATACGAATCATCTTCTTGACTTCATGAGTTGTGGAATGTTCGCAACGGTCTTTACATTCAAAATTCTATTATGATTCTTCATTTATCGCCTATAGCAATCCTTTGGATTCATTACCGATAAATTTTATAGATTATGAGGCCAATTGGTAAATGTGGTTTTAAAGACTTTAGCGACTTAATGTCGATAGTTGAATATTATTTTTTCCGTGACAAATAAAATAAATGATTGGTTTGTTGTTGCGGGCATCCAAAAAACGGCATGTGCATGTAAAAAGGAATGATATGTGCTGCAATTTTCTGAATAAAATGGTAAATAAAATAATAGTAATAGATATCATTATTTTTATTTTATTTTTGACCAACAAATTCTTTCCCATATATTGGCTCTTATTAGTAACTATGCATAGTGCATACTAATCTATTTTCTTCTCCACTTTCTATGCTAGAGTTCTAACAAATTACCTTATAGTCTTCTTCATAGGAGACCACAGAAACATTTCATGTACCAAGGCCGAGCATCCCTTGCAACAACTCTCTGTGCCACTACATTTTGACAAATCTCCGGTGCCACAATCTCATATTGTACTTGGAGCAGCTCAACTATGTTATCAAGTTCTTCGTTTTGAACTCTTTGAGGTTCAGCTGCCTCTTCGAGGTTCAGCTGTCCCCTAAACTCTTTTGTCAAGACTTTTGTCATAGTACAAATGGACTATAAACCTGATTTTGGAAATGTTAATTTTCCAATTTATTTACCTCTTGCTTCCAACCCATGTTTATTCCTTGAGAAGTTTCTAGTTGGAGAATCTCTTTGTGCCCTACCAACACATTGCCTCTAATCAACTTTTTCATAGATTTATACATCCATTTCGCAAGGGGCTGATTACGTATATCAATAATAATACACAGAAAACTAATATATGCTAAAAAAATATTTTTTGCCAACATTTCATTAAAACTTGAAAAGATGGAACGAAGACCATAAGGTTTTTGAGAACATATATATGGTGTGCAAACTATGTGCTTTACCTTATCATTTTATGGTGGTACTTACCTTTAAGAGGTTGATTGCATATATACAATCAAATGTTCTAAACATATGGCTATGCATTGTTTTAAATAACTACTACCTAAACAAAGCAATATTGTTTGGTTCGTTTTTTTTCTAATAAAGCTATCATAGCTTTATCTATATTATTTTATTAGTTTTTTTTTCTAATAAAGCTATCATAGCTTAGCTATGTTATTTGATTAGGTTTTTTTTAAGTAATTTTAAGACGACAATATTTTGCAGTTTAATAATTAGTTCATTATCTAAAAACTTTTTAATGTTGATTTTAGATCTGATTTCAATTTTCAACCAATTTGTACAATTATACAAATAATAGAAATGTGATCATTTGTCATTAGATTTTCTTCATTATGTTTGTTTTTTTTGGTCAAATTTTTTTTTTCATGATGTTACTTAAAACAATTTTTTAACTATAACATTTCACTATTTGTGTTAAATTTATTATAGTAGTTTAATATTACTAAATTGAGACTATTAAAATATTTTTTGGTATTCATAATCATAGTTATTGACTTATATGCTATTATTAGATAATTTGATTTTGTTGTTTGTACCATGACATTTGTGATTAAGATAAAAAAAAAATAGATAGCAAGGTTCCTAATCTCATGTCACGCTATTCTTTTAAAACCTCCTTGTCTGTCTGGTTAATTTCTAGTTTTTAAACATGTTTTAATTAATATACCACAATATAAAAATTATATTATTACTATGACGTGTTTAAAAGTTTATGAGTTTAGATAACACAAAAAGATTTATGAGTTTAGATCAATTAGTGTAATTATTCTATGTCTCAACTCTCAACCATAAAAGAGTTCACTAATGGACTATCTCAAAAGTTGGGAAATAATGATCCGGAATTTTTAAATATGACATCGACGACCAAATATCACATCACAAATGCATGTATGATTAGGGAAGTCAAAATAGTTAACTCAACTCATTACCTAATCAATACAATAAAAACATAGTTCCTCCAGCAGTGACACATCAGCTTTTTAAGCTGTTCTGAGAATGACACATCATTAAAAATTTTACTCAATCAGAACTTTTCAATTAATACACATCAACTTAACAGCTTGCCACATAAGCTCTCCAGCTTGCCACATCATCATTTTTATTAAAAACACATAATTGTTTTTTTAAAAAAAACCAATCAAATTAAAACAAATAATACATACAATTATTTTAAATTTTTTTATAATGACAAATGAATTTCTAATTGTTTCATAATTTAATATTTAAAACAGGATAACTATATTTTGAAAAAGTTGTTTGGCATCAAATGGGTTTTAGTGAACAACATGAATGAGGTGAATTTAACGAGTGGTTTACGCGGAATATAGTTTTTGTAAATTAATTTTGTTTTAATAGAAATATCTATGGTAAAAATTTAAAAGTTTTTCGGATTCTGTATTTTACCTTTGCTCGTATTTTAATTGTTTTTATATTAATATTTTATTTATGCATACATTAATAAATAATTTTGTATCTTACTTTTACAAAAACAATATGGTATAGTTAATCTTTGTATTTGTTTGTTTTTTTATTTTATGTTTTTAGTATATGTTTAACTTTTTACAAATGTTTGATTGTTTTTATATTGTGATATATGTAAATATTTTTCAACGATTATTATACTTCAAAAACCTTAGATTCTTTCTGTTAAAATTATTTGTGCTACACAAGCATAATTTGAATCAAACGAAAAATATTTAATATATCTTTTGGTTTTTAAAAATACATTTTTTACTATTAGATCACAATAATTAGTTACATCAAAAACAAAATTGTGTATTTTTGTTCGTTAAAATCTGAACACTATGAACAATTTTTAACTTTTAAAATAATTCAATTTTCGAATTAGATCGGATCAATATTATTAGGGATGGGCATTTTAACCGAACCGAACCAAACTAACTAAAGCCAAACCGACCCAAACCAAACCATAACTTACATTCAAACCATAATCGATAACCCAATGTGTTTATTTATTTAATTAATTAATAATATTAAATGATATTGTAAATATAAATATTAGATTGTCTAAAGAAGAAGGTGAGAAGATCGTTTAAAGTTGAAAGCTCTTGGTGCTAAAGTTGTTTTGGAGTGAAATCATCAATTTGTTTTAAGGTCTGTGTTACTTTAAAGCTAAAAAAAAAAATCGCCATCTAAAAGCTCAAGATACAAGCTGATCAAGGGGTTTCATAAGGTCATAGGCTACACTTGCTTTTTCTCATTGCTAAATTGGGTTTGAGAGATGAATCTTTGCTACTTCAAAATGTATGGTTATAGGTTAGGTTTGTACTTCAATTTCTTATGATTCTTTACTCCTAAGAGTTTACAATTGCTAAATTGGTTTGTGTTTCTTTCTTATTTCAATAGCAGAAAGTCACAGCAGTAAAGAACTTTACACTCTTAGGATTGTAACCTCATGTTTTCTCTGTTATATTATCTTGTCTTGTTACGTCAAGATATATGGTCAAACCCGAATCAGGTGAATCTATATGTTTCTCTTATACATGTATCTTGCTTCACTTGATCATCTGCATATGAAGCGCAAAGCTTTGTTAGTTCGTGTTCACAAATGAAATCCACAAAGGAGAAATGGTCAAATTATTCTATGTTCTAACCATAAAGGTGTGTAGCCAAGTGAAATTTGCAATTGCAATTTGACTTATCTTGGATTTATATTATTTTTGTTGTTTGTAAATTTTGATGGAAATGTCACAAATGTTATTGATTAATTAGTTATTATTAGTGATCTATTTTGTACGAGTATATAATTCAGCATATCAAAAAGTTGAGAATTGACTATGTATTTGTGGTTTATGTTTTGAATGAAAGTGATCTCACACTGCTTCAAACGCTTGATCTACTCTGTTCCAAGAGCACTTAATGGTAAATATAAGTTCCGAGAAAGACAAGGAGAAAGAGGATTCCAATGCTCCCTTCAAATGCTAAGAATCGTATGATCAACAATCTTTAACTATTTATCTTTAAACATTCTATTTTTAAGTCACGAACCAAGTTAGAATAACCAATGTTTATGAATTGTTTAGTCTATTCATTTTTAGAACCCATAACAAAGCATGGTCATCTTTTTTTATTTCTATATTTTCATGTAATTTTCATAACTTGTGTTCAATTAACTTTATGGCTTTATCTAATAAGTTTCATCAAAGTCATGTATTCTTATATAAATATATATATATATATATATATATATATATATATATGAATTTAAATCTCGACTGTTATGATTTTTCTCAAGAAAGATTGATGTCTCTCGTGGTCTCGACAGATTGACTTATTCCAATAATAAAGTCAGTGTAACAAACTTTATTATTCTTGACAGTGTTTCTTATGTTATCTTATGGCCTGAATTTATGTGGATAACCTTATTTATATTTCTCATAACATAACAAAGATGAAGAGTATATATGTTATCAAGCTCTTAGACAAGTAAACATATTTCTAATTAGACCATAAACATATCCTCTTTCTTTTGATTTTTTTTTTTGCAATTATACTGCTTTGATTTTGATTGTTTGAATAATAAAAATTTTCAAAAAAGTATCCCGCAGCGTAATGGACTCCATTTCTTGATCTCTGGAACCTTTGAAGAGAACCAATACATCATTTTCCGACTTTCTTTCCAGACTACACTATACTATCTACGGCGGGAGCGTAACGAAAGAAAACGACATAATGTTAAATATAGGTCGCATAGTCAGCTCGCAAGTATGGTCGATAATACGATCTCTTCCCGGATCATGTCACTGCGCTATTATGAAAACAAGAGGCAAAGAGGTTTGCTTCGACTTTGGTTTACGTCCAGAAATGTACGTTAGATTTCAGGGTATTTTTCACTCTGTTTTAGTATAAGCTCTGTTCTACTATATACGGCATGCTCTCTTTAACAAACTCTCTCTCTCTCTGTAAATGGTTTTAAATTAATATCAATTTTTACATTTCACCAAAAAAAATGGTTGTAAAATAAAAATACCAATAAATATGGTCTCTTTTTTTTCTATTTTGTCAAGATAGTAATGTGGTCTGTTTATAATACAAATATGGATCTATAATAAATATTTTCTCTCACAACTAACACGTTGAATATCGACCACTACTTGGTACCGAAATAGCAAAAATAAATTAATTTGGGGCTTTTTTAAAAGAAATCTTTATTTTTATTATTATTTATTTTATAATTTTCTTTAATTTTTGTTTTTGTGTCTTCCTTCTATCTCTAAAGAAGCACTACCCCTCCCGCAATTGAAGGTTCTCTTCGTCGCTCACATTCCATCTCTTTCGATCTCAGATTCCAATTCCTGCGAATTTTTTCTTCCCATAGAGATTACAGATTCTAGGGTTTCGATAGTTTCTTTCCAATCGAGTTTTCTTCTTTAATCTCTGGGACGAAATTTCCCTTAGGGTTTCGAAGATCCGAATCTGTGGACGGAGGCAATTCGACGTTTTCTTGAGCTGCAAAGATGTTCTGGCGAATGGCGGGATTGTCAACGGCGTCTGCCGTGAGTTTTTCTTCTCCCTGACCTCTTTTTTTTAACGATCGTGTGTGAAATATATGTGAGGATAAGGCACTCCATTGAGATGAGAGTTTTCGTTGTTTGTTTGAATCCTGGATACGTTTCTTATTGATGGATTTAGCTATTAGGGGTTGTTTGAGGTTTCATTTCTGGGGATTTTGGCAACTTCCTCTGTTTCTTTACACGAATATGTTGGAAGGTGAAGGGATTATATATTTTGAACAGTAATGAAGTGTCTTCTTGATGATATATGAACACTGTCTTGCTGGAAGTGGGAGATTATCCCTTGTTGTCGAAGGCATTGATTGTTTTTGTGGTCTGCATTTCATAGACAAGGGAGGTGAATATAGACTGACGAGAACATTTATGATGTGATTAGAGAATGTTTTTACTTGATGGAAATCCTCATTCCTCACCAACACTCTAGTGATAACCCATAACCATCAAAAGAACATCAAAATATGCATGGCTATGTGTTATTGAAATGATACTGAATACATTAGTCGAGGGTGAGGAGGTTAACACTAATTTTGGGTTCTTTCTGGTGTTTCGAAGGGGATAGTTTTGTGGAGTTTCATCTAACTTGTGTGTATCTCATATATTGGGACTTAATTCATATTCTACAATATTTTGCTGGCTAATTGCTATTCATTGTCTTATGTGCTTTCTGAAATTTCGAATTTTTGTTTGCAGGTTGAAGCAATTTTGGATAAAGATAGTTTCACATTAGAGGACCTTCTTGACGAGGATGAAATTATTCAAGAATGCAAAGCCTTGAACGGACGACTCTTAAATTTGTATGCTCTGTAACCACATTTTCTTACATTTCATGCTTAATTACCGTTCTGGGAGAGGATAAGAAATGCAATTGTTCATGTGTAAAGGTTGGAAGTGACAATGCATTGGCTTTGGGTGTTGGATATATTACCTGACAATGCTGTCACTTATTTTGATGTCCACCTCAAGAGCTTGGCTAATTATATATACGACCACTAAAACATTTCTACTTTCACACATTATTTTACGACATGCCAGTTTTTTTGCATCATATATGATATTACAAATCTCCTGTCTTAAATTATATTCACTTGTACTGGCAATGCTCACTCGTTCTTGACTACTGGATTCTTTTTATTTCAGCTTGAGAGAAAGAGTGCAAGTGGAACAACTTATTAGGTACATAATAGAGGAGCCTCTCGAGGATGTGGAAAAGAAGCGAACATTCAAGTAAGTGTCTTGGATAAATGATCCAAATAGAATCAATAGAACAAAAGAAAAAATCGAAATTGTTTATTGTTTTTTTTTTCTTTTATTGTGTTTGATGAATAAACAATTGATATTCTTTTCTGTTGTAGGTTTCCTTTCATTGCCTGTGAAATTTTCACATGTGAGATTGAAATGATACTGAAAACACTAGTAGAGGATGAGGAGGTAGGCATTAACTCTGTTACTTTCTTCTATATTTATATTTTGTAAATGGTTAAGGATTTAGTGTTTCTTACCTCTTGTGATCTCTTCTTTCTGCAGTTGATGCTATTGCTGTTTTCGTTCTTAGAAGCTAAAGAAACCCATAACTCATTGCTTGCCGGGTACTTCAGCAAGGTATTTAGCACTCAACAATTTTTTATTGTCAGAAAACTCATTAAGAACTTTCGCTTGCTTTTATAGCGCTCTATAGAGTATCTTCGACGTATACTCTCTTACATTTTCTATTACAGGTTGTCATTTGTCTGCTGGTGCGGAAGACGATCCCTTTCATGCAATTTATAAAAGTAAGTTGGTTCTGTTTCCTAGATTAGGATTTTCGTTAATGACTTGAACTTAGCTAGAATTAGTGTTTTTTCCTTATCTTTGTAGAGATTATTGAACCATTAGCTAGCTGCTTTCTTTTACACTTTGGATCTTCTGTATAACGTGATAATGCTGTTAAATAGTCAGAGATATTGATGAAGATCTGTTTTGCTATTTGATTATTGAAATAGCTTTTTACTAATCAACAATATTCCCTGTTGATTAAATTTTGATAATTGGTACACAATTGTTTTAAATACCATTTAACCATCTGAAAATTCATATTAAAGTTTCACATTATGATTGACCTTGGCTTTCTTGTGCGACCAGGATCATCAAGAAATACTGAAGCAGCTTGTTGATTTGATTGGTATTACATCTATAATGGAGGTGGGTTTACTTTTATATGTGTTATTGGAACTCCTGATCTAGGCTCTATGTTTATCACACATCTACTTGAGAACATACTGAATAGTTGAGATTAATGTCATGTTTTCCCTTCCTTCAAAGAACTTATGATTCTTTTTACGACAACAATAGTAATAGACCTAGTAATGATGATGAAAACAATAATAACTACCTCTGATATTGCTCTCATCATTGTCATGGTGAGTATTATTGTTACACAAGGAACTTTTTCAATTATTATTGTCTGTAAACAATGGTTGTAATTTTTATAGGAGATACCGAGAGGTGGTAGAATATTAAATTTTCTTTAAAATAGTTGTTCCCTAGACTCTAACATATTGCTTGTTGCTCAGGTTTTAAAACGTCTGGTTGGTACTGATGAGCACCTATATTCAAACTACACAAGTGCAATGCAGTGGGTAGAGGATACAGATGTGTTAGAGATGATTGTGGACAAGTTTGGCTCCTCAGTAAGTTTCATTCAGTTGCATGGATTACTTTTCTTTCAATATGGGCTAGTCTTATGGGCTCTCCTCCTTTATTTCAAATTTATTCTATCATCCCAGGCGTTGCTATCTACTGATATCCCAGATAATTTTTTGTTATGATTTGTAGGATTCTCCCGAGGTACATGCCAATGCAGCTGAAATTCTTTGTACTGTAGCAAGATACGCACCCCCTGGTCTTGCTACAAAACTTTCCAGCCCCAGGTAAACTGTTCTCAGCCTTGGCTATTGTTTTCATTAAGTCATTATTACTGTTGAAAATTTCTAATTAATTGACATTCCTTTGATTCCTATACAATTTTATGCAGTTGTACTGGAAGGTTGTTAAAACATACTTTAGAAGATTCACGGCCTAAGTCTGTTCTGGTTAATTCATTATCTGTATGCATATCTCTGCTGGATCCTAAGAGGTTTACATTGGGGACTTATCATATATATGGCCGTCAATTAACCCATGGAAGCATGGTAACTAATCCTGAGACAGTGGAGGGAATGCTTGGAAGCCTAGGTGAGCAAATACAGCATGGTTATTAAATGTTCATATGTAGTTGTGCTTGGGTGTTGTTGTGTGTTGACTTCTTGAATGCTATATTTCCTATTGTGAGGGATGTAGTTGGGTTGGGAAGGGAAAAACTATTGGGTTTGTTTTTGTGGGATATCTAATATGCGTTTACTGTGCAGGTGATTTACTTATGCTTTTGAATGTTTCATCTGCTGAGGGTGTTTTGTTGACAACGTATGGCAAGTTGCAACCACCTCTTGGGAAACACAGATTAAAGGTACTTTTTTGCTCTCATTTGTATGATTTGTTATCTAATTATAATGTATCTTTCTCTGCTATGTTTTATAATTTAAAATTTGAATTTTGTTTCTTTTGCCTAGATTGTAGAGTTTATTTCAGTCTTACTCACTGTCGGAAGTGAAGCAGCAGAGAAGGAAGTAATTCGGCTTGGAGCGTTGAAAAGAGTGTTGGACTTGTTCTTCGAGTAAGTGGGAATAGGGAAATTTCATTTCCTTAGTTGATGATATGCAGACTGCCATGCTAAATTGTGATGCAATTGTGTCTCAGGTATCCCTACAACAATTTTTTGCATCACCATGTGGAGAATGTAATTCTCTCATGTTTGGAGAGCAAAAACTCTCAACTTGTTGACCATCTTCTCAGTGAGTGCAATCTTATTGGGAGTATACTAGAGGCGGAAAAAGACTCCACATTAACTACTAGTGATTCTGATAAGGTGAAGATACTTACTTGCTCATGTCTGGGGTTGGCATCGTTATTTATTAACTTGGTTTACATGTGATGTATCAGCTTCAGCCGACAGTCCCTGCAGAGGGTAGCAAGCCACTCAGGATTGGAAACATTGGTCATATGACTCGTATCTCGAACAAACTTCTTCAGCTAGCTAATAGCAATGTCGAAATTCAGTCACGTTTGCAGGTATACCACAATTCGGTCTTATCTTGCCACACATTCATGTACTCAGGTAGATATGAAACAGAACTGGTTCATTTATTGGGCTTGAAAATATTCAATATAATTAAATATAGTTGCAATTCCTAGTTTTCTTGAGTTTTGGATGAGAGTATGGTATTTCTTTACATTTTCTGTATAAATGTTAATAGATTAGATGGTCAAAAACAATTTTCTCAGGGCTTTATCCCTGTTTGACCTCTCCCAGAGATATTTCCTTGATAGCTTGTTTGCGTGTGAAATATTGACAGGGGTTCTAGCCATCATATCTTGATTTTTTTTTTTGCTACATTTTTTACCAGGAAAATAGCAAATGGGTGGACTGGCAGACAGATGTATTGTCAAAGCGTAATACATTGGAAAATGTCTACTCTTGGGCCTGCGGGTATGCATTTTTTCTCTTATAGGGAGTTTTTCTAGACTTAAAGAAACCTTGTGACACCCGCTACTGTTTTCAAATAATTACCAAAGGCCTTAAAAAGTATTTTTCATATAAAAGTTTGTCACATTTGTGTAATTTTCTTTTGATTTAATAGCAATCAAGATATATGATAAGTTAAATGTGATTGCACGTTCCCACTAGGTGGCAATAAGAGCTTGCTTTTGGGAAGTTCTTTATGGGGGTGATGAATTTTATTTATGAGAGGCAGTAGTGATGGTTGGTGTAGTGTATAGATTAATTCTTTTTACTGATATTGTTCTTAACAGGAGGCCAACTTCACTCCATGATCGTAGTAGAGATAGTGATGATGATGATTACCACGATAGAGATTATGATGTGGCAGCCCTAGCAAACAACTTGAGCCAGGCCTTTCGGTATGGAATTTACAGCAATGATGACATGGATGAGGTGATGTTCTCGTGTTTCCTTGTTATAGCTGCTACGTGTGATCTTTTCTTTGGATTATTATTATCAAAGATTCTGGCCGCATATTTTCAATATAATGGGTATAGACTGTTTAGTCAAAGGAGGAAATTGATTCAGGAATTTTGTAGGAATTCATTTTAATTTACGTTGGCCTATAATCCTGTAATAGATAGGTCCTGAAATACATATTGAAATCTGATGCAATTTTGTCTAAAGTTTTGCGATTGTATTGGTATTGGACCACTGGGGTGGATCCAGTTACCAAATCTCTGTATTTGGTGGATAGCTAAACCGTCATTTCTTTCTTCAATCATTATGCTTGGTTGACCTCTGGATAGCTATAGCATCGGGGGGTTTCCGACCATCTTCGCTTCCTTTATTATCTTTAACTATAGCCTAGAAGTAGCTTGGATAAAGTCGGTTTACCTGAGCAACTAAATTCTGTCAGAGCTTTTGATTTCATTGCATTCTTTTCCTCATAACACATTTGTTCTACCGTTAACATATGTAATTTATCCACTGCAGGCCCAAGGCTCTATGGAACGTGATGATGAGGTATTGTTAGTCTTTATTTCCTCATCTTTAGGAATTGAGATTTGACTTTCATTTGTGGAAAAAGTAGGAACAAATTTTTAATTTCTTTCCTTTCCTCCTTTCTGTGCTATTTATTGCTGGAGAACTCGCTCAAATTTCTTTTGCGGCTCCTGTGCCTATTTTTCTAAGCAGCCAATATGGATATTTAGTGATATATATGGTAGATATGAAAATCTATGAAGTCTATGTTGCAGGATGTCTACTTTGATGATGAATCTGCAGAAGTCGTCATATCTTCCTTGCGCCTTGGAGATGATCAGGAGAGGTAATGGGTTCAACTTTTGTTTTTTTGGTAGAAATTAATCCGTTGATTCACATCATATGGTTGATGCGGTCCCTTAACTTACGAAGTATAATATGGTGTCTTTGCAGCGATTCTCTGTTCACAAATTCAAACTGGTTTGCATTCGATGATGATAAAGCTGCAAATGAGCGCTCAATGAGCTCAGCTGCTTCCCCTTCACCCAATGCTGATGGAGATGGTGACGATGATGATGTCGTCATAGGCGAAGCCGATGAATTCAACGACACTGCAGCTTCTTCCCCACCTGATGATATGGAAACAGAAGATTCTACATCAAAGCATCCTTCTGAAAATCCGAGTGAACCAGAACCTGAAAAATCACCTGCTTGGGTAGAGTGGAGAGAGACCTCTGAGTCCACTGCGCCTTCTTCCAACCCAGATGAAACTACCATATTGTCCAATGGTGATGTTCAAATTGAGAAGGAGGATAATGATGATGATGATACCGATAACAAAAGTGCAGTGAAAACACCAGGTGTATCTGGCGATGAAACCACAGAGAAGTTACCAGACGAGAGTGGTGTTGAACCCACTGAGAGCTCATCAAAAGCGAGTGGCATTGAACCCTCTGAGATCTCACCCAAAGCTAGTGGCATTGAACCCAAGGAGAGCTCACCTAAAGCGAGTGGAGCTGAAGTAACTGAGAACTTGAGAGATTCCGATCCTGCTGAATCGCATGCAGATGCTAAAAGCTCTGAACCTGAAAGCCCCCATGGGACAAAAGAAACAGAGGTTGCAGCAGAAGCAGATACCAAAGAGACCGAAGAAGCTGTGAAGGAACCAGAGAAGGTAGTGTGAGCTTTTTACTTAACCGGGGGTCTCTTTTGACTGATAAAACAAAATTTCTTCTGGTTTAGTTTGATTAAGGGCTTTGTCTGTTTTGGGTACAATTTATTATTCTTTTTTTCTTTTCCTTGTTTGTTTACTTCATTGTATCATCTCCAAATCCGGTATTTTTTATTCAACATTATTGTCGTCCAAAATTTGTTACTAGCTTCTCATATTTATTAGTATAATCTTTTACCTCAGCTAGACTCATCAAGTGTCTTGTAAAGTTGCTGCTATTAATTCTTCACTCGTTCCTTCTTTGATGCTTCTGTCGTGAACATAGAAATCGATTCTGTAATCGCAACAAGAGCTTTAATAAGCCTTTCGAGTCTCGATCTCGACATTGTATATTTCGGAGATCTTCATACCAAAACTCAAAAGAATAGAGAGCTTGGTTTAGAAGAAAAACCAGACACAAAAATTTGCATCATGAAAAGCTATCAAAGAATCTCTACATGAGATATTTGAGCTTGAGTTTAGATATTGGCGTCGGCAAATCTCCATTGTGGAGAAATGAAATACTAAGCCAGATTTCCTCTGCTTTTCATTATCCTCCAGAATCTTCAAATATACATCAAGATATGAAAACTAACAGTAATCATCTACGTCAATAAATGTATCATTACCTTAACTTTTTAATGGAAAATTCTGCTAAATATGGAAAGTTCATGGATTCTCCCTTGCATATAAAGATTTAACGATGCCTTATGTACAATTTTCTTTTTCTCCATCGAGTTACACAGTTTAGGGTTTTCTTTCACCAAGCTTCCTTCAATGGCGAACCCAAACCAATCCGTCCGGGTACTTCTTCCCGTCTCTCAATCTATATATCTCTCTCTATTTTCAGTTGCTAATGATTTTCTGTGTATATTTTTACAGTCTTGCATACTAAAAGTCGATCTAAAGTGTTGCACCGGTTGCCAAAAAAAAGCAAGCATGAAATTGCAGAGAATCTCTGGTAAAATAATTCAAAACCTTTAATTGCGTGACTCATAAGTCTTTAAACATGAGATTTCTAATACTTTGTTTCCAATGGAAATAGGTGTCGAAGAAGTGGAGTATAACAGCGAAAAACGGCTCATGACAGTCACAGGTGACGTAGAACCGATGGCTCTGGTTCGTAAACTTACTAAATATCGCATAAAAACAGAGCTTTTCTCAGTCAAGTACCAGCTTGATGATGATGATCTAAACAGTGATGATGAAGACGGCACTTCTTCTGACTCTACTAGTTCATATAATGATCCTAAACCCATGGAACGTGAATTCCAAGAGAAGATGATGCAGCAGAAGAAGAAGACTGGGCTACTAAAAAAGCCCCCTTTTTTAGGAGGGTGTTGCAGCAGTAAATCAAATGTTGTTCAGCCTTTACCGATGCGAAACCGAAACTGGCATGTCCCATCAAAGTTTGAGAATGGTCCTCCTGGCTTCGGCATTCGTTTTGGCAATGCTTCAACATCATCGCAGTTGTGGCCTCCGCATCCAATGATGGGCTATCCACCAACGATGCAACCAATGATGCAGCAACAACCACCCCCTATGATGATGCAGCAACAACCACCACCAATGATGCAGCAACAAGCACAAGTTCCAATGACAGGAGTTTCAATGCCACCTAATGTTAACATGTTCCAGCCAGCACCCCAGCCTTATTTTATGTCAAAGCTCAAGATGAACCCTAAGTTGCATTACACAGAGGAGAAGAAGAAGTGACTCGAACCGCTGTGATTTTATTTCCCACCTAGGCTACTTGTTTTTTTGATTATGTCTCTGATACATATACTAAGCAAAATAATTGTTTTGAAGTGTTGTCTCTTTTGCCAATTGCCGGTAATGAACATTTTTAAAACAAAAGAAGAAGAGTAAATTTCTAAGTCATTCATGTGGATAAGATGAGCTTTGTTTGTGTCACGGAACAAGAATCTTATTCCATAACCCAACTGAGAAAACATAAGATCTGTGCCTATTGCTAGTAGAATCTATTGTCTCTGATACACGATTTCATTTGGAGAATACTTGTCTTGAGATTTGTCTGTTGTGAATCATCTTTCCCTCTTTAATGGTTGTTTTCATGTTCGCCCTCCAAATCTTTCAAGTATCCCATGAACAAAAGAAACCCGAAGAGGAAGAATCCACCTGAAGAGCTCCCTCCACCGCCTCCGCCACCACCACCACCACCATCATCTCGAGGCGGGAATCCGTTTCCACCGTCATCAAGCTTTGGTGATTTCTCTTTTCCTGATATTTAAGCAAAGGCTAAAAATTAAATTCTGAATATTCAAACTAGAATAGACCAGTCCTACATAATAATAAGAACCATAGCAAGCCACAATTTGAGATCAAAATAACTGTTTGAACTTAGCTAGAATCCTAACAGATCATATGGTTTTAAGCCCCTCTTGTTTGCTAGAAACGCAAAACAGTTTTCTCAACATGACTATGCACATCAATAGAGTCAACAAAGAGAAGGATGCAACAATTTACCATGAGTAGGAACTTGTGTGATTGTTGGTGATTGCCGCGTAACGGTCTGTGTTTGCCCTTGACTGCATTTTGAATTCTGCAGGATATAAATCAGAATAAGTAAACAGCTACCGTTTCAGAGACATCTAGGAAGAGAAAACCGGAAAATAAACTATTGGCTATAAGAGCGAAAGGATCTTGTTCATAAAACAAGCAAAATGGTCTATGATGACATGCAAATCTTGAAGTTAACCCAACAGCTAAAGAGTTAAAACACTTAAAACTTAAGATTGCAAAATGCAAAGTCACGTATAGAACCTACCAGAGCAGAGTTACACGCAAAGACAGATCGTTTATTCTTAGAGACGACAACTGATTGCACTGGGCGCGTTCCAACAGCCTGGAGAGAAGGAAATTTACTCTGGCTCGACCGCTGACGTTGCATAGAAACACTTGTAGGAGAACGCCTATGAGAGTTTCCTATCACAGACAACAAGTAGAAGAAGAGCTTAAGACTTCATTGTTCATTCATTAAAACCAAGCTTGAAAGATTGGACTAAGCAAGAAACAATGCTACAACACTAGGTGATGATAAAAAATAAAAATAAAAAGAACAAAACTTCAATCCTCCGACATCAATAACAACAACTCTAGTTTCTTCAATTTCAGACATCAATAACAACTTCAAAGCCAAGAAACAATCAAGAAACATATAAGCAGAAGAAGTGTTGAAATATAGAAGAAGGAGAAGAAAAGATACCATTAGTCGTAAAATGATGTTCTCCACGAGGAGCGAGGTACACCGATGGTTGTGTACCAATACACAATGATGGATTCATTACCGGCATAACTACAATAAACAACAATCAACCAAATATATCCAATCTTTAACCAATTTCACAACCCAGAGGAAAACAAACGAATCAATTTCTCATAAATCGAATAGAGAAATCTGGGATTTTGTTGCTCCTCGAAGTTTCTCGATCATAGAAGACGAAACGCAAATAGTATAGAAGAAAAAAATATTAGGAACGAGAATCGCACCTGAAGAAGACGGAAAAAACAAAAGACTTTTCTAGGGTTTATGTAAAATTCTCGCACAAATCAATTTAAGAGCGTTGGCTTCTATTGCAAGAATTATTATAAATAGCCGAGAAAAAAAGGACAACATCATATTTCTCCTTTGTTAGTCGGTTTTTTTTTTTTTCAACAAAACGATATTTATATTATTTTTTATTTTATGAAATTCTGAAAAAACATAACTTTTATTTATTTATTTGGTCTTATTTTCGGATGAAATTAGTAAGGCTGATCGGAAAATTAAAAAGCCCTAATTTGAGCAGATCTTTCAATTGAAAGCGAACCGTGAATCAGAAGCTGAGAGAGGAAATTTTCTTACCGGCGGCGAAAAATGCTTGGTGGATTATACGGAGATCTTCCTCCACCGTCCGATGACGAGAAACCCAGCGGAAACTCCTCCTCCGTCTGGTCAAGCAGTACCAAAATGGCTCCACCTACGCTTCGCAAACCACCTGCTTTTGCTCCGCCGCAAACAATCCTAAGACCTCAGAACAAACCAAAACCTATCGTTTCGTCACAGTACAAGCCTCCTCCTCCTCCTTCTAATTCATCGCAATCGGTGCTTACTCCGGCGAACGAATCAGCACCTTCGCATCAGCCAGCATTAGTTGGTGTGACTTCATCTGTGATTGAAGAGTACGATCCAGCGAGACCTAATGATTACGAGGAGTATAAAAGAGAGAAGAAGAGGAAAGCTATGGAAGCTGAGATGAAACGAGAGCTTGATAAGAGAAGGCAAGAGGAAGAGGAAAGAGACAAGAGAGAAAGAGAAGAGAGAGACAAGGAAAGAGAGAGAGATAACAGTGATCCATCTCGATTGAATATCTCCGGTGAGGAAGCGTGGAAGAGACGCGCTGCTATGAGTGGTGGTGGAAGTGGTGGGAAGGGAAGATCTTCGTCTCCGCCGGGGAATGTTGATGGATTTAGTATCGGGAAATCGGAGACGAGTGGGTTAGGAGTTGGAGCAGGTGGGCAGATGACAGCTGCTCAGAGGATGATGGCTAAGATGGGATGGAAACAAGGACAAGGGCTTGGGAAATCAGAGCAAGGGATTACTACGCCGTTGATGGCTAAGAAGACTGATCGTAGAGCTGGTGTGATTGTGAATGCTAGTGAGAATAAATCTTCTTCGGCGGAGAAGAAGGTTAAGAGTGTTAATATCAATGGTGAACCAACCAGGGTTTTGCTTCTTAGAAACATGGTATGCGTTTCAATAACATCTCAACTGATACATTTTTGCTACAATGATTTAGAACGGTCTGTTAGAATGATATTGTTGTATTCCAGCATTTGATGTGGTCTTAGTTTGAAAATAGTTACTGCTAGTTGTTGGAAGCATGATATATCAATGAACCTAAACCTTTGCTTGATCTTCCGGGGATTGAGTGTGAGGGTGTATTGGAATACTGTTGACAAAGATGTCTGTGTGGAAATGGAATTGAGTAATGGGATGTCATGGGAAAGTAGGAGCTTTTGTGATTATGTTGATTCTTTCAAGCTAGCTTGAAATTTAAAAGCTTTGGCATTTTTGTTATGATAATAATTTGTTGGTGAAGCTTGTAGCTTATAGTGTTACTTATGTTAATGTTAGCCTAGTAAACTGCTGGATTGTTATATTAGAATTTAGATTGCCTATTCTTTGGTAACAACAGTGTAAGTTACAGTATTTTTCCCTCAAATAGTCAAATAAGCATTTGGAACCGTACTTTGGTTTTTGGGGCTAGCCTAACCTGAGGCTTTAAGCTTTGGATTGCCAAATACTAGAGAGTTGACAAATGAATCCTGAGGGATTGGCATTTGATGATGTAGTTTTTATGGTTCTTGGATTACTGTAATAACTCACAAGATCTGTTCTTTCTGATTTGTGAGCACTTCTTGACTAATGTGTGATAGAATTATTGGTATGTGAATGCATCTTCACATCGATTGTCATAACGTTGGCATCACTCTTGTGATTCTGATTGTTGTTCACCATAACAAGTCCTTGTTGCAAAGATCGTATTTTTCTTTTCTCGCGTATTACACTCTGATTGACCCATCAAATCTTTTTTCTGCGCCTGAAGGTTGGACCAGGAGAAGTAGATGATGAGCTAGAAGACGAGGTGGGAGGCGAGTGTGGCAAATACGGTACAGTCACTCGTGTACTGATATTCGAGATCACTGAACCGAACTTCCCAGTACACGAAGCAGTAAGAATCTTTGTTCAGTTTTCAAGACCCGAGGAAACAACTAAAGCCCTTGTAGACCTCGATGGGCGATACTTTGGAGGAAGAACCGTACGTGCAACATTCTATGATGAGGAGAAATTCAGTAAGAACGAGTTGGCTCCAGTTCCAGGTGAAATCCCTGGCTATTAACAAATCCTAAGACAAAAAAAATGAAACTGCATCCTCTAAAAGATTCTTGTTAGAGAAAGAAACCATAGATGAGGTTTTAAAAACATGTGTAAAGTACTTAGAAAACTCTTGGGATTATCTGTTTATTGTTGTTCGAAATAGCTTCATAAGGATCAAGAAATGTTCCTGTTTTTTTGTCATGGTTGGATTTTGCATATGAATTAGTCACAATCAAGTACATTTCTTCGACTATGTAGTAACTGTAGGCAAGAATTCGATTGTTGAACTTGACTAAGTGGGCCGAGGATATGCGATCCGAGTTAGTAGAAATTGGGCTACTTGGCCCAAAATCGATGATTTCAGGACACAGAAATGTACAAACTTTTAATGAGAATAGAAAAATAAATTCTTGTTGGAAAAAATTCATGCGTTCCATAATATTTTCAGTTACATAAATGAAAACGTCTAGACATATTTTAATTTCATTTTGTTAGTTGCAAAATTAGTAATGATCATTATTTTTATTGGCATCTAATTTCTCAATCACTAACTTTATGAGAAGTTTTTTTTTTTTTCAAATATGAGATGTATCTTAAATGTTGAAAATAAACCATGTAAGTTAATAAAATATATATCGGTCAACATAAACGCTTATAAGAGTTAAAATTTATCATTACTCAAAACAAAAATCGAAATCATTGTACTGGTTAATTTGTCAATGTTACAATATGTACCGCTTAGAAAAGGTAAAACGACAATGTATCATCAACCTGCAGGAAACGGAGCACCGTATCATGAAAAAATCAAAAGTATTGCTTGTTTAGGTGCTGCACAAAATTCAATGTCCTAAAGCTCTCAATCATCAAACCTACATTTACATTTTCAACATTATAAATACACTTTAATTCAAAGTTCAAATTTATAAATAATTTTGGACCTATATAGACCCCTCGTGCATTTACACACTTTCAAAGTCACTATCTTGATATCTTCCCTTAATAATTACAACAACTACCAGAAAACAAAAACAAAAATGCAAATGAACCAGAGCACTGATAAAAACTATTCAGAAACATGAAATGAAATTGAATGGGTCAAGTAAACTAAAAGAAATTAAATGGGTCAAACTGACATTTTAGCCAATAAGATATCACTGCATTACCCAACAGTTTTTGTTACTGCTTACCAAAAAAAAATGAAAATGCTGAAATAGTGTTACCCTAGTTTCAAAACTCAAGAGTGTTAAATTTCTTTTAGTGTATTTCTTCTGAGTTCTGAGTATTGTGAATAAAACAAAAAGAAAAGAGAAAAGAAAAAGTAGAGAAAAAAAGACAAAATACAAAAGACATTACAAGAAAAGTTTTATATAGTAGATCGTGTAGGGTTCTGTTTTATACTTGTATGCATAATTGCACTTATTAAACTATATAGCTATCTATTATTCCCTAATTTCGATTTACATAAAAACGCCATATTCATCATGACCGGTTCCATCGTATTCGTATCGAACTAATAAATTAGAAGTCTTCACCTATATATAAAATAAACACGTGATATGAGTTCGGTGAGTATGTGGCATTATATTATTTTATGTCGAATTATAGTGAAAATACTACTACATAATAACAACATTATTTTGAAATAATACAAATTTAATTGTAAAAATAAACAACCCAAATTAGCTCATATAGGCTTTCCACGAGAGTTTAAATACGCAACCACAGAGGACAGAGGGAAATTCAATAAATACTGAATTTGGGAAAAACAAAACATACGCAGATGCATACATGTATGTATATATGCGCTCTAGTGTCATCCCTAGTGAGTCTCAGTAGTGACCAAGACAAAACCATGCATGCATGCATGTGGCAGCCATGTGCATGTGAGTTGTATACTTGTATGTACATGCAACATGCTCATGCAACGCTGGATTACGTATACTGTATGTATGGATAATGGATGTTGGTAATCTTGAAGTTTCTAGATTTATAGGTTTTCTAGATTTTAAATTTTGAGTCGGTTTCTAATTATGGTTTTGATTTAAAATCTATTTTGTTAAAGTATAGCAAACCAGATACACATATCTCATTTTGTGCCATTCGTTTTGTAAAACAAATAACAAACGACTTTTTGGCCCCAAAAAAAACGACTTTAAAAAGTTCACGTCAGTAAGTAATGTTTGATAAAGCTTCCCATCGGATATACAATTATATTTAAAATTATAATCAAACAAATTTTAAAATGCGGTTCACTAAATTCAATAAATTCAAGTAGTATATGGTTTCGGTTTTTGGGTGACTGAACTGAACCTTCACTTCTTTAATATCAACTAGCAACTAGAAAGGAAAAAAAAACAACTGCTTATAAAGAAAATTAGAAAATATGGGCTATAAAACTCTGCAAGCTAAAAGAAAAATAAAAGATTACTTTAATCAACTGCTCTAAGGAAACTTTCTTGTACCAAAAAAAAAAACTGCTCTAAGAAAGCATTTTATGAAATATATATGCACCACAGCACCAGAGTGTTTCCTTTACCGAGGTTTAGTGCTGGCTTTGGTTTCAAATAAATAAAACCAGAAAGTCAATGAGCTATAACCGAAAACAAAAACAAAATGAATTTATCGCATTCATGCTAATTAATGATAATGATCTCTTCCTTATACTATCAATTATATCTCAGTCTTTCAGTTAATAT